GGGTCTAAACTTCGGGGCTTAAATGTAATGTCTCGAATATGTTTAGCCTTTGAACAAGAAAATGAAATTCCGCGCAATAATTTCTTGCGTGATTTTTATTTAAATTTGGTGGTGAGCATTTTATTGAAATACTTGAAGGGGAATTCGCGAGGAAACATACACTTGTCGTACTATTCTCAATAAAGGGGTGTATGTATCGAATGGTTAAAGTAAGGGAAGGGAATTTTGCTTTGTTCTGAGTTAGGATAGATATATACGATACTTTGGCAAAAGGTTAGAACCGTTAAAGTATTTATATGAAGTGAGATTCACAAGTGAGAGACATGTGGGGATTTTGAAACCCCAATTTTCCATTTATGCTTTCTACCCATTCGTTCGCGCATATCCACGTTTAATTCATCATTTATTATTACTATAATGCGAAAATATATTACTGCATTCGTTATTGTACTGCATATGCTTGACTAGCACATAGAGCGGTTATTAACAGTGAAAACAAAATTTTACAATTACGTTCATAGATATGCCTTGACACGAAATGTCATAGCTGTCTTTTCATAGTTTTACGATTAAGCAATTCCTCACGACCTCGCGTTAGGTCTAAATACGAAGAAATATCGAGTACTAAAATCCTGAATGCTATAGTACAGTTGCCAAGTAAGTAAGGGTTTTGAATTTACAGCCTAATTGTTGACATAATTATTGCATGTAGCGCACGTCTTCGGATTTCATATTTCATGTGAGGCGTAAATAAAAAAGTACATTTCAATTGAAAGCTCCTGTTTCGAAGAAATATGAGTCCAGTTATTCACTTATATAATATATTAATTATATTCAAAGAAATTTGTTGAGTGTATTCAATTTAATTTGGTTTCCTATTCACATTCCTTTCACTACTACTTCGAAATATTTTATTACTCAATTTTTTGTAGGGTGTTATGTTATTACATTTGAAACTTCCTGCCAATGAAGCTGATATTTCCCGTACTTCTCTAAGTAATGTATAAGAAACACTTAACTTTTGAACTGAGCGTGGTAATGCCATCCAAATTTGATGTATTCATAGCAGGAAATAATATTCAGGTCAAAATTCATTGAATTAAAATGTTTGTAACATTACTTTGAGTTCCTGTTAATTTAATTTATGAATGTATAATTCTGTTGTTTAAATTCGTTTCATTTAGATATATATTATATTAATATTATTTTCTGTTATAGTTTCGGTCACTTTATTCGATCAGAGTAGATGATCTTGTAGCAAATTTACATTTGAACAATATTGGGTACTTTCGTAGTGTGTGTACCAGGTTAGGGTTAGGCCATAATTTTATTCCGATTTTCTCTATTATAGTTCTACTACGAGTTCGGGGACTGTATGTGTTAGCTGAGTGAATATACCCCCTGCCCATAGATTTCAGTCCGTTTACACAACTTGATGTATGTAAAGTAGGCGAACAAAATTATTTACCCCCATATTGGTACACACACTTCTGGAGCGCCTCGAAATGTACGATGCCTATCTATCACACAAATTAAACACAAGTGCTCGAACTGGGTAAATGTCAGTCGACCGTTACGCGAAAAATAAGTTTGGAAATAAACCCGCTTGGGTCACGTGTGATGAGTCTGATTTGAGGATTTCGACACTACAATGTTTACCCATGTAAACAAACATGTTGTTTTCAGTGTTATACGTCATTCTGGATTTCCGATGACTTATTCACCGTCGTAATAATTTCCCCTATAGTGAGTGTATCATTGTAAATACTGTCAAATATATGAATACAATATAACTATATAGTTTCCCCATGAAGTGAACACTGACAAAAAGTACATCATTCGCAGTGTGTTTCACAGCGCTTGTGAAAGCAGGTAATGTTGAAGGATTTTGTACGGTAATATGATATTACTAAATACTAATAAAGAAAATTATGTAACTTATGGTGATAAAATAAACTACTGATAACTTAGGAAAGAGGTTATGAAATTTGAATCGGGTGTTGTCATAGTTTTATTCTGTTGGGAATACAAAAAAATCCGTACGTGCGTACATGTGAATCATGAAATCCTCTTTAAAATCCGAATTGTTGTCGACTATACGTGACTGTCCTCATTTCCCCAACCTATATAATAACGTTCAAAGCTTACTTCCAGTACGGTTTACTGTTTGAACGATAAAGTTGCGAAGATGGACAATTTTTTCTTATTCTTATCCGTTTTTGTTATTGCAGTTGGAGTTGAAAGTGCCTCATTACAAACAACTGATGGTTCTTGTTCGGGAGATTTAGTGCTACGTTCATGTGCTGAATGTACAAAGACGTGTGCAAACTACAAAACATTAATATGTCCTATGGCCTGCATAAGCGTCGGCTGCCAATGTCCCGGAACACAAGTCCTTCTTGAAGAAGGCGGATCACAATGTGTGGAACCGGAAGATTGTCCCAAACAATGCCCGGGTAATCAAGTATGGAAAGAATGTAGATCGTCGTGTGCGTTTACGTGTGATAACTACGAAGATATGGCCTGCATCCAAGTCTGTGCAGAGCCAGGGTGTCAATGCCCATCGGGAATGGTTTTGAAAAACGATGGCGGACCGATGTGTGTTCCGACAGAAAAGTGTAAAAAGAAATGTTAAAATGACAATTACTCTTAGTAAGAAACATATACTTTCAATTAAATACAGTCAGTAATTTGTCAGTTCTATCTTAAAATTTCAATCGTATTTTATAATTTTATAAGCACTAGTTTAAATAAATGTATACATTTAAAATACATCTTTTATCATTTGAATTTGGGGTGTAAAATATTTTCAACAAATTCCACATTGTATTCAGTCTTACCTAAGTTACCTGTATTCAGTATAATATTGTATAAGATACAGCGTTCACTTTTATCGGGAGATTTGTGTGATTGAGTTTACAGCGTTTAAACAGTGGTTCCCAACCTTTCTACCCTGGCGGACCGGTAAAATTAATTTAAATGTACTGGCGGACCGGCAAAAAATTGAAATGACCAGAACATAAAAGAATAACATGTATTTGCGTAATACAATGCAATGTCGGGCACTCAATATGCATCTAGACAAAAAAGGCACACTTAAAAACAGCTCACACGAAGAAAAACTATCAAATAATGTGACGGCCAAAAATATTTGCGTAATGCTTTGGTGCTGGACGCCCATTATGCGTAAGGAAGGCACACATAAAACATCTAACATAAAAAACATGTACATGTCAAATCATGTACAAACGCAATTAACTCTAGTGAAAATTTTGCTGCTGTTTAGTTTCCAATATAGGATTGCAAACGATGCCTCAAGGAAGTTTCTGCAACACGTAGCCCTGCAGCGGCGTGCAGCCAATTTCCTTGCTTCGCTTTAATTGAAGCTAGTGATGAAAATATTTTTATATATAAGTAATAAAAATATAAGTAACTCGTTGAAAATACGGACAGCAGTTTGATTGCTCGATTACTTAGCGATGGGTATTCGTTATCAAGAGATATCCAAAATTGTGACAGTGATTCTTTTTTAAATCTGGACTGTAAAGTAGAATCACAATTTGAATCAAGCTTTTTCATTGGGTTCATCATATTAATCCCTCTGCAGTTGATCGATGCTTCAAACGGAGGGAATTTACATTACAATGACAAAGTCGTCGGTAATTTGGCACCAGGCTCAAAATCCTACTTTTGTCTGCTCAAGATACTGGGAAAGATCTCAGCGGCCCATGCTTTTTTGCGCTCCTCGTGACCACCTGCCATATTTTACTGTAGTATTATACTTTTCTTGACTGTTTTCTGGTTTGAACAAAGAAATATGTGTAACGTTTTATTTAGGTGGTCATATTAACCAGGAAAAGCATGCAAAACAGAAAAAGCACGCGTGCCAATTTTTAGGTTTCTGAATCTTGCGAGATTCGATGGAGCGCATTCACGATGATCAAAAAGTGTGATTACTTGGCGCCAAGATGTCGCGAAAGACGTCGCAATATGACGGCGGAAGAGAAATTGCGTAATAAATCGACCTCGTCAAAGAGATCGGAGCGCATTCGAGATGAATCGGAGCCGAAAAAGCGAAAAGTATGATTACTCGGCGCCAAGATGTCGCAATATGACGGCGGAAGAGAAATTGCGTAATAAACCAACGCGACCTCGTCCTCGGTAAAGCGATTTAGACGGCATAAAAACAACAAAACACCAAAATTTTCTCGCGGACCGGCAAAAAAGCTTCGCGGACCGGCGGTTGGGAACCAATGGTTTAAAGGATTCAACTACAAGCTAATCAAACTCAAATACTTAAGATCATCTAGTATTTCTGGACTTGCATTAGAAAATTACATATATGGTTAGCTTTTGCGAGCCGATCGCCTTTTTGAGCTCAAATCCTCCCCGGAACCGTTATGTATTGTCAACAAAGATGTTCGACATTTCACACAAATACATTTTTTAAAGCAACAGTTGGCTGCAAATGGAATTGCATGGCTAAACCAAAGATTATCTAGGAATAACTGCTTGTGATAAATTAAGGTACATCTCTTCTGTAGAGATATTATTCAATCTCTAAACTTACGCTCCCTAAAGAGAGGAGAGTTTAAACTATTATTCCGTAGCAGGTATTGTTTCTCTACTTAAATACTTTCTCCTCAGAATAGAAACACACATACAACTGAACTCATTTATCGAGAACAGCGGCACATTTGACTAAACTACTTAAACAGTGACAATAAATAAAACGCCTCTAATCTAACATGAACGTAGCCTACAACAGAACGTGAATCAGACGAATAAATGAGATGCGATGAACCGCAACAATTAAAAGTTGTCACGCTGCTTATCAATTAATTAAAAATTCACGATTCACATTACGTCACAGGTATGCAAATATAAATGAGGGTGTGTGGCAAAATCATTACACCGAGCTCGTTTGTTTCTTCAGGTGGATGTGGAGGTATCGAACTCAACCCTCTCCAACAAAAGAAAGTTAATAATTTAGCCTGTCCTAGACTCTTAAATACCGCAGTCCGCAGTAACAATAGATATAAAAGAAATGGTCAAGCGAATTGATGGTGACCGATATTGGCATTCAATTTTAATAGTTTCACTGTGGTAATTCAATGTCCTACATATTTTGAGAAAAATAATTAGGGGCGCGCCGTATATGCCCTTAAATACGAGCATACAACAGAATACACAAGTTGGAACACCTCTCAGTGACGTTTGCAACCCGTTATGGCAATTATATTTACATATAACATTTCAACGTCGGGTTACCTTTGCCCTCCCAATATATTACACCCTGGTCGCGAGACTTAAACGCGAGATTCGAGAACTTTTGATGCGAACATAATTACATCCAAGCCTAACCTCGACTTGGCCATTATTTACCAATATAGATCCTGCATCTTGTGTGTACAAAGCGCTACAATAAAATGAAATTGTGAATATTTATCAACTCTGAAGTAGGACAATAAAGTGGCAAATCATATCACTATATCGTCTGGAAGTCAAAATCTTGAAACCACCACAGGGCGTCAAATTGTTTCTGAATATATCGCCTAACCTTGATTCCCCCATCAAGATTTGTTAGTCAGACCGGTTATTGTAGTTAACTTTATAACATGAAAAACTTTTCATTAGACATTTGCTGATTGGTATGATATTTGCTAAACTTGAATATATATCATATCTCTGATTAGTATTTTATTTCAATTTTCATTAGGCGTTGTTCAACAATTCTCAGGCTCATTAGTAAATATCATTGCCTAAAAATCATCTTTCGACGCTCTCCGATTTAATGGGTGATTAAGTCACTAGATAATTAAAGCAAAGATTAAGAGGTAATCATGTTGCGGTTAGTTGTGATCATTGATTAGAAAATCCTTTAATTGGTGTAAAATCTCTCACTGTCGATGCAGCAGAACCAATGTGATACAGAAGTATTGAATACTGACGGCGGACCTGTGATAGATAAATCCAGGTATTTTTACTAATGTTTAGACCTGCATTATTTTCTTTATAGCATAATGGAACAGTAATAGAATCATATGACTTGAGACTGTCAGAGTCAATAAAATGGAAATCCCAAACAAGAAAAAAAAGTTTTTGAGGACATTTAAACTGTTCATTTATAAACCGTTTCATCGCCGTGCTGAATCACTGTAAGTCAATTTCCAGCAGTCCAAATTTTCACACTCCAAACAATTTGAATATTATTTTTCAGTAATGCTGATAAAATTGCCATTATAGATATAATAAAGCGATTATAATTACATACTTCATCCCAACGAGCTTCCTGGTTTGGATCTGATTCAATCTCAAACATTGAATCGACTAGTCCTGGGAAAGCTGCTGCTCCATATGAGTTGTGCAAGAGAGGAGTATATATTACGTGACTGAATATGAAAATTTTCGTTAGGGTTCATTAACACTACTATACTAGGATGGAAGGGCGATCTTAAACACTGAATAATAGTTATTCAATTTCTATATTCCTCGGCATAAGTTCTCAATAATCTACCTCAGAGCCTATTTGTTAGAATTTTTCCCCAAAGAATCCTTAGAACAGGGGTAAATAAGTTTTTAGTCCTCGCGTGGCGGTTTGAATACTATATGTAACTTTTTCAGAATTGTAAAGTAAATGTTTCATAAATAATATGATTCTAATCAGGTTCAATTAATTGAAAAATAACAAACGCCATATTTCACCTGACATCATTTCGTCCTTCTATTCCCTGTTTGTCAATGAAAGCTCTCTCGAATTGCATCAACTGATCGTTTACAGCTCTCAGTAATAATGGGCTACAAAATACATGCGTAATTGATATTGATAATAATTGACACCTCATATCGTGGCATTTTGTTCCAACCTCTGCAAATGCATTTAAATGCAGATTTGTGAAGCAAAAAATCGAGATATCGATTATTCAAAACAATCATTTTCATGTGATTGCGATAAGGTTTCTACGAGTCTAACTATTTCTCTGTCTTCTATGCCTTTGTGTCGATGGATCCGTATGAATATAATGCACGGATGCTGTAGCAAGAGTGATGATAACTATCCTAAGTGTTTCAATAGTTTTGCTGCACGCTAACACAAATATATTTCCGTTTGGATTTCCACGAGGCTAACGGTGGATCCGTATATATTTGTGTTAGTGTGAGGCAAGACTATTGACTTACTTAGGATAAGTATTATCATATTCGACTATTTATAAAACAGTGCTGAATTTTCGAATTGTTTATGAAGTTAATGTTCACAGACTGAATTTAATGCTAAATAGTTACTCTTTGAGATCAATCTTTTCAATCCTTTTGTGCAAATCTTTGGCGGCATTATTGAGATCAGTCAGAGCGGAATTGAGCATATCTGGATGTGTAAAAATAAAAAATGGCATGAAATATCACTCAAGACGAAACATTGATGGCTAATCTGCATTATCTCGTCTTTAACCAGAGAGCGCCTCTCGATATCAACTCAGGTAAACTAGCCCGCGGAATGACTTTATTAGAAAATAATATAGTATATTTATACCGACTTCGCTGATAAGTATTATGACGTATGTAAGTGACAAATAGTAGATCTGTTGTGAATTTTCAGTAGTTAAAATGGTAGTGTTTCCCAGGATGCCAAAACTTTTGGGCTTCATATTTAACATATACATTTTGATAATTCTAAAGTATCGACGCATATATGAGGTTTCTTTTTTACTTACCTGTTTTTATATTGTGACTTTCCAACTTTTCACCAAATGTTTTCATCATTGTGTTTTTATCAGAAATCATCCTAGTAACATAGTCTACGGCCTTAAAAGGCAGAAGAGGAGAATCTGCAAGTCTCCTAGCAATTTCAGCTCCAACCCTAGCGGTTGCTTGATGAAACAAGAAATCCGGATCGATGAATGCTTTCATGTAATCAAAAGTTTCATAAACTGTGTGATAGACTGGATACCCTGACACACCACTGCCCTGAAAATATACAATGAAATGCAAAAGAACGTTAATTGGCTAGTTTGGGAGCTTTGGAAATGATTAGAATATTCCGACTTGGGCTCGAAAATGTATAAAAATAAACAAAAAGTTAAGACTAGAGTCACTCAAATTTGGTTATGGGTTCAACAAACTTGATGCGTTGAGCCTCGTGTATTGTTCTGATATTGTGATTGAAAGCGACAAACAAACATACAAATATACTACATACTACTATTCTGTACAAAGCATCTGACTGTAACTGTACCAAATTAGAGGCAAAATAAGTTGAAATTTCATAAAAAGAATCTTACAACCGGATTGAAGTTACTCGCGTATTTAAGGTTTAGCACGGATATTCCTGACACCTGCAAGAATGGTGCATAGTCATTGCCCGATCCGAGTGTAGCAAATCTAAATATTAAACATTTTTGAACGATTCTGCACTTTCAATGCCCTTATAGATACAGGAAAGGATAATTAAATATTAAACTACAAGAATCATATCTGATATTTATCATGGTATTCATTGTAAACTTTGAAGAAGAAACACTGGTCATGAGTGGTATGCCTTAGCCACTCTGAATTATTCGTACGAATTTGGTGATTTTAGAGGGCGTTTCGTCAACAACGGAAATAAATTATTCAACGTTTTTATCACTTTAGTTCGCTTCCTCCGCTTGTATGCAGCCAGGTATCAAAAGTATTTTTACGACCATTTGCAATTTCTTCCTGACTAGGATTGGGTACTGTTTTGGCAGAATCGACTGAAAGTTGTTTCAGGTTGTGAGATCCTGATAATTGAACTGTATAATTTCCATTTATCATTCCATCTATATTGAGGTAAGCTATGGTGCGACTTCCCAAAACTTTGGTAAATTCCTGCGAACAAAATGCACGGTTTTGTACACGTATTTTGTGCGATTTCAATAAAAATGGATATCAACTAGCACATGCTTCAGTGTGAGTTGTAAAAATTACAGATAGAAAAATAAGAGAACAACACAAAATGGTACTCCCGAAGTCTGCAAGCCAAGATGGTGGACACCGGAACATAGTATGTGTACCAGATTAGTGTTAGGCCATAATTTTATTCCAATTTTCCTTATTTGAGTTCTATTACGAGTTCGGGGACTAGCCAAGTGACTCCCGTAGTATTTGTAACCAAAATTATGGCCTAACTCTAACTTGTTGCACATACTAAGCTCCAGTGTCCGCCATCTTGGTTCACATTCTTCTGGAATACCCATAAAATTCACAATACGCGGTACGGAAATAAATATCTGAATATCTGTTTTTATACAAATGGATCTCGTTGCGTTTTAGACATAAGTTAACGATTTAGTTTCAATTTTTGTTGAATGTAATCTGTTAAAACGTAGTACTATATAAAATATCGACCGTGGTGACGGTCAAAAAACTAGAAAATGTAACGGGTTCTTGAGAATGCCATATATTCAGTTTTGCAATATTTTGTTTGGCCGAAGTCGGTTTCACCTGAGCAAATATTTGAATTGGTATATTGCAGTTTTACATTCATCACATCATTACAATAAATTGCTTACTTCAACCCATTCCGTGGAACCTATTAGCCCATACTCCTCAGCACCCCAACTGCAAAACACAATGCTTCTTCGCGGCTTCCAACCATTCTTGATTGCTTCTCCAAAACTTCTAGCAATTTCGAGCACTCCTGCTGTACCAGAGGATGGATCGACTGAGCCAAATACCCAAGCATCACGATGATTTCCAATGATGATATACCGATCTAAGATAATAATGGTATCACCTTAAAAAAGCACAGAATATCAAGGTAAGTGTTGATGATACCAATTCCATACCTGGTTCTACACTTCCCCTTATAATTCCTACTACGTTTTTTGTAATTGCCATCTCATTGGTTGTATTAACATGCATTTTCATCTTGCTGAAACATGAGTAAAGTAAAATTATGTGTATTAAAAACAAACTCATTACAGTATGTATATATATCCGATTTTAATTTGCCTTAATATACATCTTTGCTACCGTTAAGCATCTAGAAAAAAGAAGTCGTTACCTTGTTGAATGTTCACCAACGAATCCAGGTCCATATCTATAAGTAATATTCAATCCGCCTTTCCAGTCTTCCAGCACCTCGTTGCCACTCAGTTTCTCAAGATACATTTTGGCATCATTATATCCTATCGGAGTAACAGGAATTTTAACGAGATCTGTATCTTCCAGTTTAAGTCTCCATGCAGTTTCTAAAATAACAGCAGTATGTAATTTTGTTGTACACGAATCGTAAGTGCTGTTGTTGTTGTTAATCTTGTGAACATATTTACCAATTGCTGGATAATGTGGAGTAAGTTCGTCACCAGATAACAATTGTATGCTACCACGTTGCGCTCCCGTTCCTGGCAGAAACCAATCGTCAGGATAAACTTCTCTGCCAAGCACTGTATAATCTTTTGGATCCGAGTACAGAATGAGTCCAGAGCAGTTATACAATTCTGCGTGGTTGACTAAACAAATATGGACGAGTATAGAAGTATTAATTAACGACACAATCTACATTTTCAATATTTAGGACTCAAACATGGACAGTGGATTTTGTAAAATTTATCTTGGATTTAAGCGTTTCAGCAGGGTTATTGGTGTTTTTTGACGGTTTTTCACTGTTTTTAAGCGTTTTAGCAGGGTTATTGGTGTTTTTTGACGGTTTTTCACTGTTTTTAAGCGTTTTAGCAGGGTTATTGGTGTTTTTTGACGGTTTTTTACTGTTTTTAAGCGTTTTAGCAGGGTTAATTGATTTGAATAATTTGCATTATACCACACAATGAATATTGAACTGTGTTATTACTATTAGTAATTGTAATACTGTTAAAAGGTGTAGTCATCAGTACATCATACAAGCTTTTATTTGTGAGTTATCGATATCTTTTTTTTTTAAATTATCGATCGATATATATTATTATAATTTAAAGGTTTCATTGATATTCATCAATGGAATGTAGAGTGGCTATACCATAAAATTATATGAGGTTATTTCTTTTATAACAAACATTTCATAAATGCCATTGACGCCTTTTCCGGGACATTCACGTCACCAACACTGCCTGTTATCATTCAATAAAATATTTTATCGTCATTTGCTGAATTTTTACTACTTGAAATGTAAAGAGCGTTCACATTTGTTTTTCTTCTATGTGGGTTGGAGCTTATATTATATTATATTTCTCTGTTCACTTGCCTCCGGGTCTCCTTTTGCTGAATATGCATTAAATGGATTAACTACGCCGGATTTGTTTTGACTATGATCCAATATCTCTTCCTTCAATTGACTTTGACTGGTCAGTGAACCTTCCAATGTCGAAAAAATATTATTTTTCATTAGAAAAAAGTGTTCATGTAGAAAAGGGAATAATTATATAAGGAAAAGGGGTATAACCAAACAAATAAGAACTAAAAAAACTCAACCGATGCATGCTAATCATTTGCAAAGATATAAATCACTATCATACCATCGGCCAATTTTATGGCTAAATAGTTTGGATCGTTGTCGTCAGGATATGAAAGCAAAACTTCATAAGGATGAATTTCAACATCTAGTCCCGATTCTTTCCACTGGTCAGCAATGTAATTCACAAGATATTCTTCGGCAACATCGCGACCAGCAATATGAGGATATTCTGTGACGTACCTGGTGAAATATCATTGTGTGATGCATATAAAAGAGCATTGTATTTCTGAAAATTCATGTCCCAATTCAATGAGGAAAGTTTTTCGACCTAAGTTCACCAACATTGATTGAAAAGTAATAATGAAACATTTACACACAATTTAATTTTGACACGGCAATAGCACTACATTAGTGCGTATAGATAATAAAATATTTCTACCAACCTTAGATATTTTTCAAGATTTTCAGCTTTTATTTCATTCATAATCATTTGACTTGCATCAGGATTTTCTTTTGGTTCAGGTATAGAGTTATCAATGGCAAAATATCCGATGATAACGCCAACGCCAACTCCAACAGCGCAGACAACAACTGCTAACAGTATTATTCTACCAGCGTCTGGCATAACGCAGATTTAACTAAGTAAAAGCTCCAAGAAGATTCTGATTGACAAGTGTAATATAGCTGTAAAGATATGCAAATTTGTAAAAATCGCTTTTCAAATTGAATTCCATCCCTTTAACAGTTTTCCTCATTCGTCAAAAAAATACGTCCCAGAAGCGATGAGGTTGTTACATTTGCCTGTCTATATAATATAATTTTCTCTGGCTATTTTCAAAAACACCAACCGTTCTCAACGTTTAATTGGCCTTCGGCCTGCTGCTTCAACTTTTTAATTGTTCAAAAACTGATTGAGCGAGATCAAGATCAACATTTTCGATAAACTGATGAAAAAAGAAAATTTAAACTTAAAACTTAGGCGTACTCACCTTTAATTTGGAAAATGTAAACAAGATTTTTACATAAGTTATCAAAGTTGGAGTCATCTGATTCAACTACTCTTCTTCATAAGAGAATTTGTCCATCGTTTTTAAATTATGCCGAAGACTGGATAAGAAGTACCACATGGCGGCAGAGCATAAAATTGTTAAAATGCCCGCATTGAATTTACATTCATGCCTCTAATTCTCAACAATAAGTGTGACATATCTAACCTGTCCTACGTTTAAAAGTTTATTTGGAAGTTTTGAAAATCGGAATTGACGTCCCAATGTGGTTAGGTTATTGCCAAAAGGCGCCTGAAAAAAACACTCTATCAAAAGCAAAACGGCTTTCCCAATATTTTGTCATTTTTTTCGCCAGAATTTTTACTTTTTTAAGTTTTTAAGTAATTGCAATTTATTGTTGTGGGGGTTTTCTCGTGCCTGGCATAGAATTCTATCAATATTCATAATTCAATTTATTGGCATCAATATTTAAAACAAATCGAAGAATATATTTATCTGATACTATGCATTTCGTGTATTTTTATAGAACGGTTGCCTAGTCAATATGGTCCTAAGAACATCTGATCTTTTATTGCTATCAGTACAAGTGATGAAACCTGACTAAATTAGATCAATTAGACTTGAATGTTATACAGTATGTAATTTGGAATTCCATCTTTTGTAATTCTATAATGCCATAGGCATTACACACACATTCGTTGAATGCATTCGCCGTTACCGCTTTTCACCCATCGTATATTAATCCTATTGTAAAGAATAGGAAGTGCACTGTCTCATTCAAATATAATGCGATTTTATCTGATAGTGCTGAATAAATAGTATATTATTGAATCAAGCCCATTTATACAATATTCTGCAAATATTCTGTGTATTATATTACCAATTGGCATTGTTAGCAAGACTAGCAAATATAAATGCAATAAAATGCTTTTATTATTCCGCACTTTGTTAGATGGAATTGAATAAACCTTTGAAGATTTCATATAATTTAAAAAAAAAATTCAATTTCAAAAAGTACAATTTTCTGCAAACTAAGCTAAGATATGCTCTTAAAATTATAACCTGTAGGCCTACGTATATGATGCATTGTTTAACTAAATTTTGATTAATTTGCTACGAAATCAATTAAAAGCTGGGCTCACCTTTGGGGCATTGAATCATGATGTATTTGCTAGAATCCATAACGACTTTGGAAAAACGAGACAGTTCTACGCTAAACTAAAACGTGAATTCTCATTGTCAACCAAATGTTACGATTTAACCATTGCAGATAGATTCAGAGTGAAATTATATTGGTTATGCAATAATGATTGTGACTGGAAAAATACGATATATATATATTATGCATTGGGAAAATATTAAACAACGCTCTAATGCTTTTTTATGACGTTTATAGTTTTTAGTTAGTATTTAGTTTTTTCTATATTATGATCGGTTGTTACAGGAATCAGGAAAAAGCATCACTATCAAACAAAACAGCATTATTACGCTAGCCGAATTTATATAATTTGTAACGTCGGCATCAAATTCACACTCATTTTAAAAACGAATCTATATTTATTCGTTCATTGAGTAGTTGAATTGAAGGTATTACATATTCCGTATGATGGTGCCTAATTTATTTAGCTCATACGTTTCACACTGTTGCGAATACATATCTAAAAATTGATTTTCGTGGTGATATATTTTAAACATTTATTGTCATCATAAAATATGCCTTTGCTATTGTATGTGCCACACCAATTCATTGCGAATTTATTTATTTATGGTCGTCTCATATAACCTGTGTATATAAATAGGGGATGCTGTTAGTGGTTCAGCTGACAAAGCCATAATCACCTATATATAATAACTGTGTTCTAAAAACTTAATTTCCGACCTTTGAAATTTAATTAGATATTGAACCTTGGGCGTCGCTGCTCGATAACCAATTTTGATTCGCCGCGGCTCCCTTCCCAAGTAAAGTGTGTTTAATTTTATTTTTTATCAATTTCATGTATATGTTATTTTTTACTGGATGGAATGTACACGACTATGACTTTATACGTTTTGTTTGTAGTCTATCTGAATTATCTAGAAAGACGAGTTCTTCAATATGAGTTCTTCTATTCCAAAGTGGTAGTTGAATTCTGGCGACCAACCTCTTAAAAATGCTTCATACTAATCTTCGACTTCACATATTTATTTTCTGTTTTTTGTAGATTGTATGTTTCAAAATTAATGCAAGAATCGAAATGTTATTTCATATCCTATCCCTTTTTTAATCTAATTCCATCAGCACAAATTATTCCAGTAGTGAGTTTAGGCCATGTATTTAAATGCTAAACGGAGAAAATGGTAAACCATACCAAAACACCTCATCGGCGACGTGACTTGCCACCTCCTTTGATTACCCTGTGTATATTCGCAGGTTCGAATCCTGTGCGGATAATTATGTGCGAGACTCGTCGCCGCTGTAGGGTAGTCACGGCTTCCTTCATCATCCAATCCATGCATCTGAAACAAATACCTAGCTAACTAAAACCATACTCTTCACATAGTACCTAACCGGACGAGGGCGTGGTTCGCCATTTGATTAAACCATCGTATCGTTTTTTTTCTCTCCCCCGGGATAAATACTTAAATCTAACCTTTACAAAAGTACTCCAGCGTCCCTAATCTTCTTCCATGAGATAAGGCAAATGCCTGTATACATTTATACGGTCGTATAAATTAGCTAGCAATTCAAAAATTATCTTACTATTTTTTGTTCGGATCGAATAACAGTAGAAGTCAACCCCATTTTGCCGAAATATTGAATAGATGACTCTACGTTTATCGTCATGCTTGATTGAAACACATGTTGCAGAAGGCCTAGAAGGGAGTTCCCCAAAATATTTGACAAATTGAAAGTTCTCTGATTGCGCCGCTGCTTGCATAGGATACCGGTATTCTTAGACCTGTAGACCTACACTCATACTCTGCATAAGCTTTTGATTTCATCCAATTAAGTGTTTTATTCGGACCTCATAGCTTGAAAATGGGCCGTGCCAGACGGAAGTATGGCCGACCTGTTGAGAGCCAAAGACCTGCTTCAAGTGTCAAAACAGAATCTCTGGAATTGTCCAATTCAACATATGCTATTGGAAATCAAGGTTTTGTATCAATTTAATGACTATGTGTATTGAGTAGACTTTGCTTAACACTTTATTGGGGCTGTCCTTATACAGTGATAGGCTGTGTGGGTCAGTGGGTAGTCTACATGCAGACATGTAAGCTCAAACGTTGAACACAATTTATACTCAGATGTCTAGCAAAATAATTCATTTTATATGTTGTAAATGAGTGTTTGATGCAAAAGTATCTTCATATAATGTTTTTTGTCTACACAGAATCAAACAGCAACATGATTATACTTGATTCAAGGAAAGAAAAGACTGGAAAACCTCAAGTTTCCCATCAACCGAAACCAAAGAAACTTAGCAAAAAAGAGAGAAAAAAATTGCGAAAAATAGTTGATCAAAAAGCAAAAAAAGCAAAGGTATTATTTGCTATTTCAAGCATAAAAATATGTATGTATGTCACGATTTTTCCAGCCTAGATAGGGTTAACTAATTCATTGACATCAATAGTTTTATGACATTGATATTAGTCGAGCAATGAATTATAATATTGCATATAAACAGCATAATGCTGCTCACCATGACTTTTTACTAGCTAATATTAGTCTATATAAATGCATGTTTGCAAAGATTGGGATTTGGATTATACTCATACAAAACTATTTCAATGTGACTATGCTGTTCTGAGAGCTTTAAATTTTAGTTTTGCTTTCAAATCCTTTGTCCTTTGCTTTGCTCATTGTAAAATTGGGTAGGCTTATCCAAAGATTATCCAAAGAGCAAAGGTGAATAAAACTTAAACGAAATTGCCTAACTGTAAGTATCTATAACTGCTGAAGTTTACTTGTCGAACTAAACTGTTTTTAAATCCATTATCTCACAGAGAGCAGAATTACTGGAAGAATTATCAAAAGTTCAAGTAAACTCATCTGAACTTGCATTGATGTCCAGTGTTGCTCATCTTGGAACGAAAAATTCTCACCTTCAGTTGTCGAAACGTCCTCTGCCCGATGAGTTGCGAGAAGAAGTTGAAAAACTAAACAGCATTCGCGGATCAAAGCGACAGAAAAGAAATAGAGCAAAGAAAAAAGAGGTATGATTAAGTTATTTTTCAAGTAGGCTATAGGACGCTTGCATTTAAAACAATGTCGAATTTTTTTTTGTAATCCCGTAGTATCAGGTTAGGGTTAGGTCATAATTTTATTCCGATTTTTCTCATTCAAATTCTATTCAGTTTGGGGACTGTTTGTGTTATCCAAGTGAAATACCCTCTGTCCATAGGCTTTCCCCCCTTAACACAACTTGATGTAAAGAAGGCAAACAAAATTAGTCCCCTCCATATTAGTACACATACTTCAGGAGCGCCTTTTTTGATTTTTATATTGAAGATAATTATATTAGAGAGAATTATTAGACTCCAGTTTATGTAGTAGTCACCAACAAAGCAAGCGAGAAATAAGTCCCGCTCAGCTGCATTGGAAAAAATCCATGTAGGAGCCAGAAGCTAATTTTGGACTTTTTTAAAATATACTATCTGCATATCTGATTTATCTTTTTATATGGTCAGTAATAGGGGTAATAATCTGAGAAAACTAATAATAATAATAGGGGTAATATCCATGTGAATAAAAAGCGCTACATCACTCATAGCCACTGCTAAGATTATTAAGTATGTTTTATACATTAGTTTTTATTTTAAAAAAGTCTTTTATTATTTTGATTAAGGATATTGAGTTGATAAAAGAAGACAGTACAGATACCAGTGATATATCTTTGACTTCTGAAGATGAAGAAAAAGAAGATGGAAAAAACTATGAATCGGATGGTGAATAGCATTAGTTTATCAAATGTTTGTCTAAATTTCATTTTATTAAATATTGTCAGTGTTGAAAACTCCATTGTTTCTCTTTCAGTTGAAGTTTTTTTTTCTCAGTACATATATGTATAGAGCCTGTAACTTTTGATATCTCTTTACTTCCATCCAGGGGCGACCACTTTCCATAATTTTGGGGGGGCGAACTTGGATCGCCTACCGAAAAACACCGCGCCGTGTATCGTCACGTAACAATAACCTGTCGATGTTATTCTTTAAGTATTAGCATGTCATTTTGCTACTCATATATCGAGTACCTAGGCTGCTTTGCTCGGACACGGAACTTGCGCGTCACTGAACCAATTTCTTGAATTCCGCGAGAATTAGCCCACGGCTCTTGCTAACAAACAGAAAATAACAAATTTGAGGAGTCGTATTAGGTTATTGTTTCAATTCCTAGTTCTGCATAAAGCGCACTAACGCCGTTTCGTAAAATTAGAAATGCAAAACAAGGTAACAAGCTATTGTGCGAATTTTTTTCCTAAATTTTACCAAGGAATTATCATTTGACTAGTAGAATTGCCATTATTGCCGATTTATTAAATCATCATTTGAACTCGAAATAACATTCAGGATTCACGCAATGACTTTGCAGGGTTTTCATTTATAATTTAATACGAAAATAAACAGGCACAAGTTCAGGCGCGCAGCCAGGATTTAAAAAAAGGCGGGGGGGGGTCAAAGTCGGAACTTCCCATTGCCGTCTGCAACAAGCACCGCGATTACGCGCTCGTTAAAAGAGCCGCCTATTTAAGCGTATAATGATTTTTCTGTCGATCCATGACAGCCACGAGATTCTAAATTGTCCTTATATATTAATTTAATAGTGTGCAACGTAACTCGCGGTTGCGACTTCTTACGTCAAAATAAAAATATTACTAAACTAAAGTACCACGGCGATATGTGGACATAAAAATATGAGATAAGCTGCCTGATGTATTTAATTTTGATACCTATTTTTGCAATCTTCCGAACTCGTTATCGCCGTTACAAAAATCTCGATATCTGATATAAAATCCCATATAGTACAGTCTTAATTCATACAATGAAAATATTTATAAAGTATACTAGTAAATCAAAAATACAAATTCACCGCCTCGAAATCCACCGGAACAGTCACCGTCATTACGCCACTTGTTAAAAGAGCCGACTTTATCAACGAAAAATGAATTTTTTTACTTGTGCAAAGTAATCAATCAAAGACCGATACGAGCATATTCAAAATGTCTTGATTTATTAATTTAAACTGCGGTTGAGTCGACAAAACAAGAGCCACTCTAAAACACGACGGCAATCCGCGAACATATAAATGTGTGGTAAACTGCCCGTTTATATATGTTTTGATCCGTATTTTTGCTATTTTGCGAATTCGATAAATTTGAGATGTACTTGTCACACTGGCTCCGCTCAATCGCAATGTTGTCACTCCGATTATTTTTAAAGATAACCCCTTTCGAAAAATCTGTAAATTTTTTGTCAATTCTCACGTAGTAAAAGTTATTTCAGTACAATAAAAATACATAAATAAATACAAAAAGTGATCGAATATACTTTATTTATCTTATATATCATCAAAAACCGGGGAAATTCGCGTTTTCAGCTTTGTTTGTTAACACGAAAATTTTCGACGTCAATTTAAAAGTAATGGATAAAAAGGCAAATCCGGCTCACAATTGACTTAAGGGTCAAGCAAACATAATTTGTGAACACAAAATTTTGCGATTTTCGATGCCTAGAAAAGCGTTTTTAGACTGTCGCGGGCCTCAACAAAACTTATATTGTTTACAGTTTTATTTTTAGTATTTTATATTGCCGCTTTTCAACTTTTCGACATAGTAAATAATTTGATCTTTGCCCTCAAATTATGCTGGGCCTTGCACGAAATCCATAACAGGAAAAGATATGTCCAGCGGTGAAAATTGTTTATATTAACTTTAGATCTAGTTAATTTTTTAGCGATAATAATTAATTGTTGTAATGAAACACAGTTTGCCTCTTTCACTTCTCTCGCAAGTGCCAACAATAACACTATTGAAAGATTTTGACAATGAGAAAATCATATCAAATTGTACAAAAATGAAATAGTTGTGCAAAACCGTGGCGCGTGGTCGGCTGTGCGTTTGAAGACGGAGTATTACCCGTGCAGGCGCGCATGTTTCACGAAAATGTGAGGTGCTCCGGAGGCGCTCTGGTCCACATTATTGTAAGAAAACAGTTATAATATCGGTAACTATTAACCGTTTAATTGCGCTTGACTATCGCACTTTTCGGAAATGATAATTTTGTAAGGCGGAAACAACATGTAACAACCCCCCCCCCCCGGGTGTCCGCCCCTGCTTCCATCAGTTCTACTATTTCATTGTAATGTGTGCTTAACTACATCGCGAGTAAAAAAGGGTATAAACCAGTGGTTCTCAAACTTTGTGGACCGCGCCCCTTTTCTAGAATTTGTTCAGTCTGGTGCCCCAGCTAAAAAATGTATCTAACAATAAGCTACAAATAACAGATAGTAAGGCGAAAGTATGTTTTATTAAAAAACACTTTAAAATACATGGATGGAAAGATCCAAGTGAAAAAAATGTAAATATCCGAAATAAGGCGGACAAGATCAAGTCTAACAAATATTTTACACAATTTTATACAATTATTCCTAATAAGCTTCACACCCCCTCAAGAAATTGTCTACACCCACTTGGGGCGCACCCCATCAATTGAGAAACACTGGTATAAGCGTTACTGGAACGATTGATGCATTATTGCCTCAAATATTTTTTTTTTACGTTGAATAAAATATGTTCTTTCTTATTTATAGAAGTATCGAAGGTCGAAACTGAAACTGAACACATTGAATCTCAAGAAACAGAAAATATTCAAATGAAGGACAAACCTGAAAAAGCCAACCTGAATACTGACTCATTGCCTGTTTCTCAAACTATCGATACGGAAAATCCAACTACAGGCAAATTGAACGTTTCCAATACACCATTGCTGTCTGCTTTCCCTTCTGATTATGTGTCGTTAGATAGAGAAGCATCAGTGCAAGAATCGAGATTGAAATTACCAATACTAGCAGAAGAGCAATCTATCATGGAGGCAATTCGTCACAACCACACGGTGGTGTTATGTGGTGAAACTGGTTCAGGAAAAACCACACAAGTTCCACAGTTTTTATATGAAGCTGGATATGCAAAGTATTTTGATTTCTTAAAAATATTTACTGAATAATGGTATAATCCAATAAAATAATGTCCATTTTCGTATATTAGATTTGGTAGGAAAATTCACCGCAAAAATCAAAATACAATATAAAGTGTCAAACACAATTAGAAAATACATTGCTTTCAATTAGGAATTAAAATAACAAATGTTAATAACATACAGGAAAACATAATATCATAGATGATATTGCTAACTAATATGGGACCTTTGTTCACTGACTTTAATAAAATATGAATATTTCTGTTATCAAACAAATTTTATTATTATTATAGCGTTTTTAACCTCAAACTTATTCAGCTGACCATGGTAAATGTAAATATTTTAACTTGTTAGGTATTGAATTTGTTGTGTTTCAAAGTCACATTTTGCCCATCAAAGGCTTTGTGCATGAAATACGGTACATGATATTTCATTTATTTTGTTTTTAAAGATTGTTTTTGTTTTCTGACTGACTAAGACTCAAAAGTGTAAAGACTTTCGCCTTTTGGAAATTCCGTATTTGTTTCAAATTACTCAACGAGATTGTATGTTATTTATTTGTGTATGTTATCATTTGTGCACTTGTTTTTTCAGACATGGAATGATCGGAGTCACAGAACCTAGAAGAGTAGCTGCAATCAGCATGTCACGTCGTGTTGCAACAGAAATGAATTTATCCACTAATAATGTGTCGTATCAAATCAGGTACAGTGGCATTTATTTTAAAAATCCATGCTTTTGTCTATTTGTGTATTATAAAAACTTGTTGAGTAAAAACGAGGATGCTTATATCAGAATAGTTGAATGTACTTGAACTGTGATTCTCAAATAATTTAATTTTGAATAATCTATAATCTGTATGAATCTAATTTGCATCAAAATAATTACGGTATGATGAAGTTTGGGATTTATATGTAAAATTCTAACATTCCCAGAATCCTAGTTAGACTTTTTTTTTTTTTAAATTTAAATTCTATTTACGAGTTGAAAGGAATCATATGAATCAGTCTGATAAAGCCATTCTGTTTTCATAGACGTTTTTATTAAAAGCGAGTTAAAATGTCCATGTGAGGTCTGAATACCTTTTTAAGGGTTTGGATAAGAGAATGAATAGAGTTTAAAGATATTGAAAATCTATTGTCATCAAAATCTATCAAATAATATTTTATCATTTTTACAGATGATTTCGTTAGAACCATTGTATTACATTGCATCGATCATTTTCATATAATTATAGAACCTTATTAAAATGAACTATATTAGTTATTGAAACCCTCGTATTGTCACCATAGTCAATACTGTACATATATTTCTGAATCTGAACAAAAAAAAACAGCGTATGATTTTGTTCTACTTATTTTCACTCTTGATATATTTCTGTATTGATTTATAGATATGAAGGCAACGTCACTCCTTCTACTGAAATTAAATTTATGACAGACGGAGTTTTGCTACGAGAAGTCCAAGAAGATTTTTTGCTGTCTCGATATTCCGCCATCATCATTGATGAGGCCCATGAGCGGAGTGTTTATACCGATGTGCTCATTGGATTGCTTTCTCGTATTGTACCATTACGAAACAAGGTTTATTGTTATTTTGCATTCACCACATCTCACTTTTTTATTTTCATAGTTCTTATAACAAACACTACTCAAACATCGTCACATTTATCCCCATTTTTCATTTGGGCCAAAGACATTTGAAATCATTCACTAAAAATTCTCTACGTAAAACATTATACCTGATTTACAGTGCACATCTTGTGCTATCTCAAAAACCAAACCTCTGTCTATATCAGTGCTCTTCAACCTTTTTGTTATTGTGGAACCCCTGATATAATTTTCGATTTTTATGGAACCCCAATTACCAAAATTAAAATAAAACACGAAACACTTGCAACACGAAATATTCGTAATTTAATTATTTCTACTTCAACAATGAAACAGAAAGAAGGCAACAAGTGTGGAATTTAATGACTAGGTTGTTCTTACATTTCCTTTGCAATCATCTTGAATTCGCATACTCATGTCTACAGTCTACACTCTTTATACAACTTCGTAACGACGCATCAACATGTTGAAGCAAGAAATGATTCCCCTAAATAAAATGAAAAACGCGTAACCCCTAAGAAACCCTATAAACTGACGGAACCCCACTGCATGTATTGTGGAATCCTAGGATTCCGCGGAACCCCTGTTGAAGAGCACTGGTCTATATAATAGCCGACTATCCCTCTGTGCAGAAGGTAATTCAAAAGGGGATAATATATGGAGACAGTACACCCAATATGTCTGAGCTATCGACTTACAAATACGATATCTACTGTAATAGGATGAGATAGGATTTTCTAATTTATCCCAAAGAGAGAAAATAAAATAAAGAAACCCAATATAATGGATAAATGTTTAGTTTTACCAATTGCCAATGTAGATGTTATATTGTGTGACATCTCATTTTAACTATTGAGTCATTGTACACATTGTTTGAGTCTATTCACACAGATTTTTTGATTTTTATTGAATTTTCATTTGGTTCTATTCTGTTTCAGAAAGGAAAACCTATGCGACTCATTATCATGTCAGCTACACTGAGAGTCGAAGATTTTACTCAAAATGTGAAATTGTTTAAAACACCTCCTCCAGTAATCAGAGTATGTGAAAAATTCTTTTCAAATGAAATCTTGATGCAAACAAAAAGAAAACATCCTTCATTTTATTTCATTCATATCTGTAAAATAGATTAATATACCTTAACATTCAATGATTTTATTTAGTTATGCTTTTAAATTTTATGACACAAAGGTCAGCACCCAGTTCACACGAATGAAATTTAATTTTTTATTTATTAGTTAACTATTGAACATCAATATAAAGTATACTGTCAATACCTCCATAACTTGAAAAAAAACAATGTATTGGTAAAAGGAGTGAAATCAAAAAAATATATATATATACCGGTAATAGAAAATCTGTGAGATAAAAAATACAAATATGTAATGCAACAAATATAATGAAGTCAACTTTAATTCTTGTGTACTTTTTATATTAGCACTTTAGGTAAAATATAACTAACATCGTGATAAAACTACTAAATAAATATAAATATTTATCTGAATTATTTGCAATTCTTGGGAGTACTGTTGATTTTAATTTGTATTGATTTTATCAATTTTTTTTAATGTTACTCAGGTTGAAACAAGACAATTCCCTGTTACTGTTCATTTCAACAAGAAAACTCCAGTTGAAGGACCGACTGGAGGAAGGCCATATATAAGAGAAGCTTTTAAAAAGGTACATTTTGAAAATTAATGTTGCATATGACAATATATAAAAATTTAATCGCTGCAATTGTACAAAAACACAGCTGAATGATATGGTGATTTATTTTTATAATTACTGTATATCAATTGAATTTTCCCAACTTTTATTTTTACTTTCTCTCCCAAATCATATATTATGATTCATATCAACCTTGTTGGTTAATTTATGAATGGATAAGCTTTTCTTTGTGCATATTGCTTTCACTTATTTCAATTTTTCATTATTGACTCGTTTTTAATCCTGGTGTCGCAGACTTGTGATGACCATTCCTGGTCCTTCGCGACTTCCTGTCAATTGCGATGAAATCCGTTACTGTATTTGAAATGTACTGTAATACTGAATTTGTATTGTGATTTCTTGCACGACGAAATAAACTTATTGTCTATTGTCTATATCAGATTTCGTTTCTGTGAAATTTCCGATAAATAAAGCGGTCGGACAACATCTTTTGCTTTGCGCATGTTTTTATTACTATGACTATCTCAATTTAACAATACTTTAAAAAATGGGTTAAATTCTAATTTTTATGATTGTGATTTCACGATTGAACCAATTTTAGCCCTTCATATTGGTTAAAGGTGGAGGACAAAATCGAAGAAAAAAAATTTCTGGATATTTTTACCAGCAAATTAGTTTTATCTCGCACCTTCGACGTTCATTTAGTCTATTTACTATACATGGTTCTGCTACCCGTGGAACGTTGAATTTTTATCTTAGATTTGCAAAGTACATCGTACTCTTCCTTCTGGTGGAATATTAGTTTTTGTCACTGGACAAAATGAGGTTCATTCGTTAAGTAAACTGCTCAGAACAACGTTTCCATCTGGAAAACCTGATGGATCAATAAGTAAAGTTATCAACGAACCAAAGAAAGAATCTGATGATACAAAAAATAAAGATGAGGAAGAAGTTGCAACCGATGGTTAGTTTATACTTCAAAATTTACTATGAGTATTGCAGGAATATATATATATAGTTCAGTAATCTAACGCAGGGCTGTCTGGTGGACTAAACATTATATGAAATAAACTGTGACATCATAATGAACAATGCAAATAGTGCTGTCCTGATATGCGAATAATCGTTATCCAGGGGTCTACTCAGTTTTACATGTTTTTCTGTTAGTTCTTTAATCTCGAAGTTGGAGGCACTGAAATATATTTGACCCTCATGTGAAACACACTTCCGCTAAAGACCGGACCTCAATCATTTTGAAGTTTTGTATAGGGATCTTTAGCAAAATTAGTGAGTACCCATATACTAGTGCACTGATTTGCCAAATATGAAATTTTACAAAATCCTAATGGATTTCTTTTGTTGAAAAATCATCCTATATATATATATATATATATACGCATGTCATATTTTCACTGTATAAATAGGAAATTTGATCGAAAAAAACAGTAAAATAGAGATTTTATTATTATGTTGTCCCATTATCTCCGAACACTTGCATTTATTGACTGTAGAACTAATTTATTTGAAAGACTGTTATCTTCTTAGCTTAACGTAGTCTACCCATTATCTTGCATTGAACGTGCTGATATGGCTGTGCACTACTTACTGAACTGACTCTGGCTCAAACTTTATTATTCTATTATTGTAATACTACATTGTTCAGCTAACAACCCTAATTTCTAGGAAACCACTTTTATTTTCTCATTCGCCTTTTACATTTAGATTCTACAAGTAAAGAAAAATGTCTTCCAGAGGTTAATTTAGAAAAATATTCCAGTTTACCAGAAGAAAAAGAAGAAGAAACAGATGAACAAGAAGACAGAGATGCTCCCGCTGGATACTCTGATGATGATGATCTTGAATCTGATGATGAAATCATGGTAATTATGACATCATTAATAACAAAGAATGTAATCTGATTGCTTTGTGTTTGTTTAAACATTATTCCTAGACTCAGTCCTGTTTAATAATATGACTCATTCCATTTGAGGTATGATAAAAACCAATTAGTTATTTATATCGAGACAGAATTGCTTGAAACTAGAAACTGTATCCAATTGTAACATGGCTGTAATATAAGGTGAATCTATTACTTATCGTAACTTGCCAGGGTTACCAATTACAAACTCTTTGAAAACATGGAATTTTACATATTCCCTTTTAAACATGAAACAATTTAGAATATACTCTATGTTTTATATCAGAGAATATTATTTCAGATTGCCTTTGGAATAGTATATTATTGGGATCAGGATTTCTAGCAAATATTCCAAAACAATCGTGCTGGCCATGCTTTGCATTCTGTCATATGGACAGTCTAAAGCAGTGGTTCTCGATATTTTACTGACCGCATACCACTTAACTGTTTTTTACTATGGCCGCGTACCAGCAACAAAGCTTCTTTTTTGGTGTGGGGAAAAAGACACAAGAAACGTGCTATGAGAGTATTTTATAATGTGGCACTACATCCTTTGTGGCGTAACACGTAAAACAGACAAAAACATGCCCATAGCGATTTCTAGAGACAAGAGACTGATAGCGCACCAGCGCTATGGACGTTTCCCCGACCATTGACTACGAAAAAAATACTTTACAACTGTAAACTTCATGCTTATTCTGAGAGTGTTTTGATGTGTTGGCGCATATAAAATGGTTTAAGTGTTTGAAACCATCATTTTTATTAAAATTACCGTAATCAACCATGTGCAGTTTGCAGGTACTGATATAGCCAGGGCTGCCATAACATCCTTATTTCTAAGAGTTGTCCTTATTTTGAAGATGTTTGTATTAGGTAATAAATTTGTCCTTATTTCTATTGTCCTCATTTTATGGGTAGAGGTTCTAATATCAGGCACTTAGATTGGTCAAATCAAATGATTGATTTGCTAGAAATGATATTTTACAACCTCATTGATTGCTACGTGCATTCATCACGTAATAACAGCAAATTTATTGACACAGTGACAAAACAATAGCCTACCGACCAAAATCACTGCGTGTAACCTGAATCAAAATACAACTTAAAAGTGAGATGGAACAGATTGTTTCTAAGAATAAAAAACTGCTGGAGCAAAGTGTTCTTTCTTGGTCGCACTAGCATGAATACATTTTGTTTATTACATTCTGTTCTTTGTTGTATTATTATGTTTCCCTGATGTCCTTATTTTTGGGTTCATATCGATGGCAGCCTTGGATATAGCTAAGTTTTAGCTTTGTCCATCGCAGCATTTGCGAGATTCAATTTCGATTACTGCAACTAAAGTAAAGCTTCGCGGAAGACATAATGATAATTAAGTTGATTAATTTACAATTATTTTCTTGAAATACAACTAAAAACTGACAAATATCACTCAAAACTACAAAAACGAGGCAATGTTTGCAATTGCAAGAAATTGCAATTGTTAAGTGTTGCGTCATTATTGACTTATTGCTGATTGGTTATAGTTACGGAAATAAACAAGGAAACTGGTGCTTGGGGGAACCTTCATAAACGTTGTTCAGCGAATACGAATTCAGCGAATAATAAAAAGGCATAGTTTATAAAACTATATAATTATACATTATACAAGTAATATATAACTATCTAACATATGTTATAAATTTAGTGCTGAGGTCAGCGTCTAAATGGGTTTTCTTGTTGCTAAAGCAATAAAGTTATTTGTGGTAGACCTAAAATTGTAGTATGCTTAGCCAACAAGAAAACCCATTTAGACGCTGACCTCAGCACTAAATTTATAACATATGTTAGATAGTTATATATTACTTGTATAATTATATAGTTTTATAAACTATGCCTTTTTAAAAGGTATGCCCATTCAAATATATTACAAACGCATCAATATCTTTTATAAACTAAATATTGCAGGACAATCCAGATTTTTTGAAAGAAGTTGACCAAAGCCTGCCACTACATGTTCTACCTCTATATTCTCTTCTTGCTACATCAAAGCAGCAAAATGTTTTTAAACCTCCTCCAGAAAACACAAGGTGGGTCCTTCCTTTGCTTCCGCTCACTTCTATATGCCTGTCATTGTTGATAAATGATAAAACATAGGAAATTTGATCAGAAATCTTTGCAGTATTATCATAAGCAGCTGTCTAATGACATAACAACAACAGACTCTTGTAGTAGAAATGATTTTTTCCTTTTTTTACATTGTTTCCAATCACTATTAAATAAAATATGTTGAAACAAATTCTATCTTTAAAACTATTGTCACGAAAGTGGGCACATTGAACCCCAGCCTCTCATTCAGTTACTAAGATTTTGAAAAACTAATCCATTCCTGACGTGTACTAATAATACCTGGACGATAGGTCCTCACTGGGATATATATAAGAGTCCAATTCTATCCTAAATCTATTACTAGCAAGCAATCTGAGTAGGATTTCATGATTTTCTTCTGGTAGCACTTCGTCCTGTTTTACAGATTATGCGTGGTGGCCACCAATGTTGCAGAGACATCATTAACTATTCCAGGAATTAAGTATGTTATTGACACTGGGAAAGTCAAGAAGAGAGTTTATGATAAGGTACATATAATAATTTGTCAAGGATGTTTTGCTTGTGATATTTAATTCATGTTAGATTGGACTTATTGTGTATGTGATACCAATTATAGACGTATAATGAGTGATGCATCATATAAATTTTGGTCTTTTAATGTTTACATGCATGATGGCTTCGTGGCTAATTATTTCCACTTTCTGAATATTGACTAAACAGAAGGTGTTATTACATCTCATTGAAAAAAACATGAAGCGCCATAGATCACTTTTCTGTATCTCTATACTTTGCAGGTTACTGGGATTTCTTCTTTTCAAATTACTTGGGTTTCCAAAGCGTCAGCTGATCAGAGAGCAGGACGAGCAGGTAGAGTTGGACCAGGACATGCTTATAGACTTTATTCTTCAGCTGTATTTCAAGATTTCATCAATTTTTCTGCACCTGAGATAGCATCAAAACCAGTGCCAGGTCTTGTTCTACAGGTTGGTGTTACGTTTAACTTTATATGTATGATGAATTATAGTAGCTAATATTGAAATATTTAGATTTCATGATTAAATGGAAATTACAGAGTGCTAACATTTTTAACATAATTATGTGTCAACGGAACGTGTGGATGATTATGTGTGATAGGATTGCTGGACTCCTTGCCACAGTAGGATGGTTCATGTAACCATTGGACAGTTACATCTTTCTCTACCACCGAGCCCATGCATGTGAAACAAATACCTGTTTGACTATTTTCAATAACCATATGTCCAGAACTACTACGCTTGACCGACCATTAAACAATTCAAGTGTGGTACCAGATCATGGTCTGTCAGTGAATCCAAACTCAATCCTCAAATGAGGTTTAGAACAAAAAATTCAAAATATAGTGTTTCACGAAAATAAATGGTACATGTACATATGCCATAAGAGACTAGAAATCCAGAACTTATTTCTCTTACTCACTTACAAATGGTTATGTGTAACAGCTTTACATTTTTATAACCAAGCCAGTTTGTATGTATGCTAAATAAAAATTGCTTATTTTGAATAGCTTCTTGGTTATTTTAGATGAAACAGATGAACATTGAAAGGGTTGTAAACTTTCCATTCCCAACTCCTCCTGGTATAGAATCATTAAAATCTGCTGAAGATTTACTCATATCACTGGGTGCTGTGGAAAAGCCAAAACCCACAAATATCAGGGACAAGAAACAAGGTCAGTGTGATAAATTTAACCTTGGTTGGTCAAGTTGTCTTTGTTTATTGAAACCACTTTCTCCAATTTGCAATTTGAACCAGTGGATCAGGTAAGAAATGAAACTACAAGTGCCCAGCTGTGACTATACGGGTAACTAGTATCTCTGAGCACTTTCAAATCTCTACATATATTTATATATACCTTGAGCCTTTGTTAGTCCTGACTTGGGTACTTCCTTATTATATGTACCAGGTTAGGGTCAGGCCATAATTTTATTCCAATTTTCCTTATTTTAGTTCTATTTCGAGTTTGGGGACTGTCTCTGTTAGCCAAGAGTATATATCCCCTGCCCATGGGTTTCAGTCCCTTTATACAACTTGAGGTAAAGTAGGCAACAAAATTAGTTACCTCCATATTGGTACATACACTTCTGGGGCGCCCTGAATTGTGCTATTTCGTGTCACCAGCAGACAGTGCCATACCTTAAGTATCAAATATTATTCTGTAACACAGTAACTATGTGCTTGATATGGACTTATTTGCAGCCCACAAAAATAATTTTTTTAAATGTTAAAAAGTGTTTAGACAACCATTTGATGGTGTTAAATGATGTCTTTGTGCACATTTTTTTGGTTCAGAATGGGTATGAAAGTCGAGAATAATACAATTTTAGGAATTTTTCAATATATGAAATTCTAATCAAAATTTATTCTTATTTCTGTCCTTTAAAAGTTTGCTGATTTAATAATGTGATAATTGTTACAATGTCTTACAGCCAGATTTGGAGGACCAATTACATCACTCGGGAAGTCAATGGCTATGTTTCCTGTTCACCCGAGATTTGGTAAAATGTTGGCAACTGCATCTGCTAAAGACCACAAAGAATTGCTGCCTTATGTGATAACTCTCGTTGCAGCTTTGACTGTCAGGGTTAGTGTGAGAATTATTGTGGACTTAAAAAATTTGAATCATTTGCTGTTCTGAATACATTTTGGAGTAATATTTTCGAATAGGAAATATTCAAAATTTGTCTGTTCCACTGAGAAATTCACTCAAAAAATTTTAATTTCATAGAAATTAAAATTTGGTTATGCAGAATGTTCAAGATAAAGATTGTTTCAATTAGTTTTCGCTATTATATAGTATCAGAATGTATCGTAACTTATTTTTTGCCTGTCTATAATATATCATATCTTTGAAAGACAGATATTCAAATAAAATTATTGTAAATTCTTCCTAACGTTTAGAAATCCCTTATATTCAATTTCGAACGTATTTAAATTTTTGATTAGTTTTGAACTTCTCCACCTTCATGTATTAGATTGGTCATGAATTTTCTTGTTTAGAAGGTATTAGCTTAATTATTAGCATGAACAGTTTTCATGTCAAGGATGACTATTGACAAAGATAAATTCAAAAAACCGAGAATGCTTTTTTTAATTTAGCAATGAGTCATTTTCAGGAATTTTATTCAGTAGGAGATTTTGACACTCTCAGTGCATTAAGTGCAATTCATTTTTTTTAAAAGAATATTGAGCATGTAACCAGATTTTAACAATTATTTATTATTTTTTCTCAGGAGATATTTGCAGAGTCTCATGAACCACCTACATCTCAGGAAGAGGTAGGATTATCATATGTACCTTTATAACTGTACCTTTATAACTTTCTAATCTTCTGGCTGAAATGTAACCATAATAGGTTTTGTGGAAATGCTTTTTATTAATTTTTTTTTATTTTGTTTTTGAAACTTCATCGTTTTTGGCTGAATCCAGAATTTCAAAACAAACCTTACAATAGTGAGTAATTTGATACATAACTTCATCATATTTCACCGAAACCTGTAGGGTCACATTTTGGCCAGAACAGCCATAGACCACTTATAACACTGTCGCCCTTGAGTGGTGCATACCATATATGTACACACCCTTTAAACTTGACCATTCCCGCGTTTTATAGTATGTGGTATCATCACTCAATGGTGTTGTACATTCATGCAAATTCTTAATTTTTTTTTATTACTATATTCATATGCAGTGTGTTTCATGTTGTGTTGCGTCTCTATTTATAGATGTTGTTTTGTCTAACAAACTCCTTTGTACAAACAGTTTTGTACACTCCACCCTTATCCCTGTTACCACATCCACCCACCCTCCTTGCACAACTGCCTGTATAAAGGACCATATTGTACATATTTGATTTACCCTATTATAATTTATATATATCAAAAGGGGTGTATGCCGCACATTTGTGTTTTAGGCCAATATGGTCTTGTGCGTACATCCCGTCTTTAGTATTTATAATTACTTACTTTTTTATATTGCTTTTACGAGACGAATAAACATACATACATACAACTGTTTTGATAGCGAGTATTGGAAAACTAAATGTTAAATCCAAGATAGTAGTCCATAAGTCAACATATCTTACCAATATAGCTTACCCTAAATGTGACAAATTTGGAAGGATTTGTAACTGGAGAAGATCCTCACTCGTTTAAAATTTATTAGCTATAGAATATGTGTTCAGTTAATGAAGTAGCATCACTAACTACTGCCTGTGAAGAACCTCATTGACAGAGATTAAAATGCATGAAGAATACTATATTACACTTGCTTGCAGCTTATCCATCATCTTGGCGCGGCGGTGTGGCTCAACGGGCTAAGCGTTAGGAATACGCTCGCCACCGCACCTCTAATCACTCTGCGTGGGTTCGCAGGTTCGAATCCCATGCAGGGATGGTTATGTGCGAGAGGATTGCTGGACTCTTTCATCATTTTTCATCTCAATACATTACATTCCTTGTTTATAGAAAGAAAAACTGAGACAAGGCAGCTGTTCGTCTTACCCATTGAAATCTGTTTGGAGTGGAGGAACGAATCAGAGTGCCAAAGCCTTTCGGTGATTTGATGGTTCTGCTTGGTGCAGTTGGTTCCGCAGAATACACTGGTCTCACTCCTCAACTGTGTAACCAAAATTGTTTGAGGTAGGGTTGGTACTGATTTACATTAAACAGCTTTTTGTCTTGCAACAGATACAACTTAGTGTTGAAAACAGCAAACCTGTTGTTCATATTAGGTGCAGGAACTTGAATGATGGAGTCAAGTTATTTTGACACCCACAGCTACCATTTACGGATTTTTCTTCCTTAATTTCATTTGCCATTGGTTTAAAAAGTAAATCATACCATGGCTTGACTGCTTGCATTGTACTTTTCAATGCTGAATATATAATTTTATTTCACATTTAGGTACAAAGCTTTGTTGGAAATTCGGAAGCTTCGGGCACAACTTACGAATGTCATAAATTCAGTTGATACTGATTCCCAACTATTTCTCAATTCAAAAATGGAACCACCAGATGACTTGCAGGTAGTGATTATCAATGTTATATTAACTACTAGTGCTAATAAAATAATTTAAGCATAAATCTACACCACTTCAATATATGTTTAAATAAAGAATACGTTTTTATATTATGTTGGAGACGATAAAACTGACAAAAAATTTTTAACTACCGTAGTTATTTAACTAACTAAATCGTTGATAAGACATTTAGAATTTAATCATATTGCAGTACTAGTTGATAGTTACTTATGAGTATGGTCGTTCCATCTCAGTCACTGAAACTATCATCTTCGAGTATTGATTTTTAACAGGTGAAAATCATCAGTCTTGTAACTAAAAATAAACTTACATTAGGTTGTAATTTATTTGTTTTCTAGATTAAACTGTTGCGACAAATTGTTTTGTCTGCAATGGGAGATCATGTAGCAAAGAAAATTCCAGAAAGTCAAATTAAAAGTAATAAAGATCCTAAAGAAGTGAGGAGATTGACTGGAGCATATAGTTGGTAAGAATGATAACGTTTATCTGTGTATTATTTTTTTAACTATTACCTAGGTCACGGCTTCTTAATCCCTAACATGTGTGTTAACTGTTGTGAGAATGCCGAATTCTTAAACTTGGTTACAAATACACTGCTACTGAAGACATTTTGGGAAGGGCAGCTAAAATAGTCACTCAACCTTCAGATTTAACTGAGTCGCTGTAAATATTTGTGCATCTCTGCAATTTACCAATGCAGTATAATTTGATTTCTGTATTGCACTGCTACTTCTACTCCTTTTATTTACATATGAGAGCAATGTTACTTCTCAGCCATTCTAAAATATGGGTGCGAGAATCGGGGTTCGGGAGGTAAAATAGTTCAAGTTAAAAAGTTATAAACTCACACACCGATTAGCAGGTTTGCTAGCATTTCCGTCGTATGTTAAGTTTACAAAGTTTTAGGATGAAGTTGCATTGCATTCCAATGAATTAACTGGATATGCATTCATTTTTTTCGTTATACTGTGATACATTAGTCAGGAATAGGTATTTTATGCTTCATGGAAAGAATGATGTTCAGAACTATATACCAGCTTTGGTTCATGGCCAGATGAGAAAATAATGGTCTACCATTTTAGACATACGGATAATTATTTCTTCTAGTTTGAAAATATTTATTTGCTGTAGTAGTTCACATTTTTGTCGTCTTCAAGTGAAGGCCTTGAGTTAAGTGAGGATTTAAGACATGCATTCTAATTTTCTATTTGTTTTGTTTAGTCTCTTAACAACAGAACCAGTATTCATTCATCCAACATCAGTGATGTCACAATCTTCCAAACTACCCGAATATGTTGTTTATCAAGAAATTATTGAAACAAACAAATCTTATATGAAAGGTAATTCAAACACATTTTTATATTTTGTTTGATGAACATCAACCCAGCACTAACTCTGATCTAAAGTACCAAGATGAAATGTCATTTACTATCTATTTCAAAATATTTATTTTCAATATTACCCGAATATAGTCAGATTTGCTTGTTAAATGATTTGCAATGAAAGTAAAGTTGGAGTTATTTGTTTGTGATACAGGTAATTAAAGTGGTATGTGATCAGGTTGGGGAGACTCGGTCGTGTTCGACTTGAGTTCAGATTGTTCAAGTCTTAGGAGAGATTTCACCTGTCTTACTGTCAATGTGATTCCTATTTATTTATTTTTGTTTACAAAATACTACGACTCAACATCACCCGTGACTTCGACTTCAGTTCACAGACTTGTACCCAGCACTTAATACCATGAAAATTACAATATAAAAAAATATTTAACATATTGTACAGGTCACTTTCCATTCCATTTGTTTACTGTCCTAGTGTCCTGTTAACATGTTTCTCACAAATTGAATTGATTTAAAAATTTTAGATGTGATGTCCATCGAATTGGAATGGCTATCTATGTTAAATCCTCAATATTGCACTTTTTCATCACCATTGGAAGAACCTTCATCATATTTGAACAAAGACAGTGGAAAAATTGAATGCTATGTTAATGCAACTTATGGAAGATTATCGTGGCCGCTCGGCACGGTCACTATTGTCCATCCACCGGGACTAGAAAGGTTTTGATAATTATTTATAAATCTAATTTTAAATCTAATTAGCCAGTTAATCTTATCTTAAAGTCTCATTTTATTTAGATACAAATGGTTTGCCAGATATATGCTGGAAGACATCATAAAACATTTACCAAGGCAATTCAGCTGTCTCTTGTCGAAGCCAGAAATTATGACGAAATCATGGGCAAAGTAAGTACCTATATAATCAAAGGAGCATCTTTCTGGAACCGATTTCAGTATTATTCCATTCAGGAAGATAGATAGATCAATGTGTTTCTCAATTTCAACTTTTTACAATAAAGTTTCATATCTCAATCAATTCAATTTGCTTTACAGTTTGCAGCCGAGAACTCAAACTTTACTCAAAGCATTATTACGAGAAGAAGTTGATGAAAATCAAAAGCTCATTTCAGCATGGAATAAAGATAAATATTGTGAGTATTATTGAAGTTTCCAAACTCTCTATTTAGATGCCACACGACTGTATGTATAATTTTATGCTCAATGTTTTTCCATGACTTCAGTTATGTGGAATTCACTATCTCTTAGCAGTTTTCCTGTTTGTACTGACATGAAATGCTTCAAGTCTCATGCTGAAGCATGTTTATATTTCTATCGAATATATCCCTTCTAGAAATCTGGACATCGTTAAGTTTTTCAAATACTTTGGGTGCAATCCATTGAACATACTGGGTGTTCGATTGCCCATGGTCTACCTGGAACAATCCCAGGCACTCCCAAAACTTTCACAACTCACTATGTAGCACTTCTTGAATATTATTATCAAGCTGACTAATTTGAACGCTAAAATCTTTATCTTTTGAATGAATTACCTATATATTCCATGACTTTATTTTTCGCATGCATCAATTTATTATTTACAGATTTGTTGACTGAATTTCAAGAATGGCTGCCTGAATCTATACGAGATGATTTGCCTTCTCGATGGCCTCCAAAATTCTGACAATAAAATATTATGATTGTAAATTTTATATGCGTGTCTATGGGCATCGTTTACTTGAGATAGATTATGTAATAGATGAAGAAAACTGAAGATAAGCGTACGTGTCCCACTATTTATACTAAATTCAAATCTCCGTCCACTGTGCACTTAATCCAGAGGCATTATTTTTACATATTGGTAATTTATTTCGTCAGATAAATAAAACGGAACTAACAAATTGAAAGTTTCAGTAGACTTTGAAACCGCAAAAAGTCACTGAAGTTGAATTTCTGGATTAATTAGCATTCAAGCCTTCTAGTTGTATAGCTCCGTTGCCAAATTGTTGTTTGTTAGTTTTCATTAGTCTATGCCCACCATCTTACCCAATTGTCGAAATTGTATCACTGCGATCGAGTTTAGCGTAACTAATTATACGAAAGGGCACTAAGGGTCTGTATTCAAGATTTCCGAGAGCACCGGCAGTGAACGGTCACCGTCGTCTAGTAACTTATGTGGATGAGCGTGTCTACCATCGTAGCCTGTTAACGATGTCTTTACGGATGTTTAATGAGCTTGATGATTATATATCTGAAACGCCGCAGTAAATATCTCTTTTCATATTAAACAGCTGCGGACTTATCGCACGCGTGAATTTCAATATCGGAGGTGGAGTGCAAAATAACATTGTTTGGTTGCGTGGTAGACGCTGACGTCGGACTTCTTACTGCCAAGTTGGACGGAGATGTTCTTTCTTCTGTTGGATAGTATAACTTCGGAAAACTGCGCGCACCTCGGCTTTGAGAGTCTTTCGTCGGAGCTGCCATTTTTATAACTTCATCACATTCCGATGGCCGTGGTTGTCTGCCTCGGAATTTACTGTTTTTTGACATTGTTCCGGGGTCGGCAGATCTTGTCAATCCGAATCGTCTCTTGCTGCCACTTGCCGGTGTGACTGCGGATTGCATTCCTCGTTTTGTTGACCTACCTCGTTCTAAGTTGCTAGGCTGTCGTCTGTAAGTATATTGCCCGTTCATAGTTCCTGTGGACGATCTTGCCGAACTAAAATGTTAAAAGTATAAACAGATCAATCAAACGATACTTGTAGAATCCACTGTTATAGACGAAACTTGCTGTTTCCGACACTCCGAATGGCCAGCATTGCCCATTTAAGGTACCAGTATTTTAATTGGCGTAAACATATTGTTAGTTTGTGATTTCTCTATGTATTCCTGAAAATCGTCGTGCCCCACACTCGTCCCAATTGTATGATCTCTAACCTTCTTCCGAAGCCCTATATCTATTCTAACTCGGAACATAGCATGGATTCCACACCTTTTAGCTAGCAATTATTCGAGATTTGTGTGTTTTATTTACGCAAATCCCACTATTTCGATGTAAACATACTCCACACTTTCTTTAGTAGTAGGAAAAGTAGCTAAAAGCTTTTTTTATTTGTTATTGGTTTGCGGTATGTACACAATCTATTATACATAACATGTTGGCATATGCGTCATTTATACAATACCTTATTTTAGAGACCGATGAGTAACCTCCCATTTCACTTTCATAAACTTGTTTATTTCTACAAATATCAATCAGTTCACATATTGTTAGTCCGCAACTTATCTGAAAACACAATGAAAGTTGAACATTTATATATATATGTAAAAAAAACTATTTTCCCTGAAGTTAAGAAGTCAAACATACTCAATTTAACGTTTTGCTCTTATCAAAAATAACTTGTCTCTGGTGAATGGACGATTACTTTCGAAATTCGTTTAAATATCCTATATCGATTCAAGGTAATGCACGTCGTATTTCCCATTAGTCCATGTTATGTCAGTAGAAAACGTTTGCTCAAGTAATTAACATGTTATCCTTTTAAGAACGAAGCATGATTTCGGCCACGTCCGCCCGTCCCACAGGAAAAGCTTTCGTCGAACGCCGCGTTAAATCGATTTCTTAAATTTATTTTGAAAGACTGTTTTACTAAAATGTCTTAACCACTAATAAACTTGCCGAGTTGAGATGATAAAATTTGGGTACTCCCGGAGTATGATGTGAACCAAGATGGCGGACACCGGAACGTAGTATGTATATCACGTTGGGGTTAGGTCATGCTTTTATTCCAACTTTTCCTTATTCTAGTTCTATTATGAGTTCGGGGACTATTCAAGTGACTCTCGTAGTATCTATACCTAAAATTATGGTCTAACCTGGTACACATACTACGTTCCGGTGTCCGCCATCTTGGTTCACATACTACGGGAGTACCAAAATTTGTGAAAAAAAAGAGCCAGGGAAATTCTACATATAAGAGTGACCTAAAAAAGCATAACTCGTAAATTTCTTGATTACCCCACGAAAATTTGGAAACACTGACAATATATATTTGAAGACGATAACCATCTGTGGTTCATTCTCGACGACGCTCTGTTAGTGTCATTTTCTTCATGTCTAGCGCTAAACCTTTTAAAGGGCCCCGTGGGATCGCGTAATGGTGCTAGTGACGATGTGATAATATCGCTTTATCACGTCCATTTCCGAATTCCATTTAGGTCTCAGTATAATTTTATCGACTGCGCGTTGGATATTTAATGAACATTTGGGAATTTCATAATAGAAACAGCCCAGCAGCCAATTCTAATTCACTACTGCTCTCACTGCCTTGGACACTTATTTTCGAAGTTCAACAACAAAGTAATCGGTCCGAATGAGAAATATTTCGCTATCTATAAAAAATTCCTATCGCATATCTTAATAGAAACTAATAAATAGAGGGGTTTTCTTGAACAGTACTTAATTAATAAAAAAATTGCACAGGACTAAAAAAGCCTTGGTATGCCTTTTTTAATAATAATGTATTACAATCACCATTATATGTATTGAACAAAATTTGAGGAAATTTGTTGATACCGCATTTTTGCATATTGCATATTGCTCCCATCTTCGGCTTTGACCGAATCAATAGAGCAGAAAACAAAATTGGCACGGTGGATTTCATTTTTTTTTTATCGATTTCATTGTTTCCAATGGGTGCATGCAATAAGGAACAGATAATCACCAAAATCAACTTAGCTCTAACAAGTATATTTAGTTGGTAAATAATATATACATATCGATCGTGGCTGACCACTATTGATTTTAGTTTTCAGAATAATACAAGAAGCATGACTTACTATGTTTACTGCCAAACACAGCCACAAGAAATAAGTCATCTCTTTATATTCTGGTAGTTCACAAATAACTTTGTCATCATAGCAAGTTAAAATATTTGGAATTCCAGATCCATATAAAACAGGAATAATTATAAGACACGTCAATTCCAAAAGAAGTCTGTGAAAATGAATTCTTATTAATCCAAATAACAGTTTCTAATTCACGTTAACTTATAATAGAATGGTAATTCAAACGGTGGTAGGCTATAAAATAGTATTACCTACCTGATACAAGCTTTCAAAAATCTAACAACATATATTGTTAAACAAGGCCATTGCATATTTATTGGTCTGCAAACAACATAGTCCTGATCATCGCTTAATGGAGTCCATGGCAGTAGTATCAACCAAGGCAACACAACGGTTAAAAGTCCCAACGCCCATAACGTTATTGGAGAAACTCCAGAATAGGCTACACTGTGAACAAATAAGCTAATCAATTAAACGTTTCCAATAGTATATCTAAGTATGACCGGCAATAGCCGATCTTGCGTCTCTGGGAGTATTATGATGTGAAATGTTGACGTCACGTGATTTTATGTAAATTTCTACTTCGATGCCACTCATTATCAAGGTCGAGCGACAGTGACTTATTTCTTCCTTCGTAGAAAATATGGCACTGTTGTTAAGAGCCAAGATAAAAAAAAAAATTGCTTTCTAAATTTCAAAATATTTTTTCATTGAATTTTGGGCGCTCCAAAAGTATGTGTATCAATTTGGAGGTAACTCATTTTGTTCGCCTACTTTACATCAAGTTGTGTAAACGGACTGAAAGCTATGGGCAGATGGTGTATTCACTTGACTAACACAGACAGTCCTCGAACTCGTATTAGAACTAAAATAAGGAAAATCGGAATCAAATTATGGCCTAATCCTGACCTGGTACACATACTACAGGAATACCGAATTTTAAGTCCTCTGATTAGTGATCACAAAAATACAATGTTTTTGCAAGGTTGAGATTTATCAGATCAAGGTAATTAATTTGTTTTAACTGTCTTACTGTCGATTTTATCATAAACCTATATAGACGAACCTCCATCTGTAGACGAACTTGGAGATCTTTTTAAAAGTAAGGATTATCAAATTGAGTAAGTACTTACTATAAACAATCTATAGCTACTTCTGGTGAAGATACATTTATAGAACTTTTATTAAAAACTTCCAGTTCTTTGTCTCTGCTGAAATAGAAACCACAATTTAGACTTTTAACTTTGTTTGAATCAATTTATAGAAAATTGACTTCAATTTTGTTTTAGAATACTTACACTGCAATATAGGTTATACTAGCTTTGGCAGTGAGTATCGACTGAAGTATCTTACACAAAGAAATCAGTACGGCGCTTCGGCGGAACAAAAAGTGTTCGTTAATTTCGAAGGTTAATGGTTCCCTTCTGTTTATATCATTTGAAGACGGGGGAAAAAACGTCTCAGGTTAAAATTGTCCCTTTATACTCATTTTTTATATGTTATTCCATTATTCGTTAAAATTCCAATAATTATTGACGTTTTTTTTCATTATGTGAAAATTACTTCTGCATTAATTTATATGAAATCCACAAAACGCTTAAATATTTTACGGAACAAAGCACTTCATTCAGTTTAATTTTATTGGTCATGTTTATTTTTCAAAATCCTCAAATTTTGAAGAAAACTGTAGATTAATTTTATTAAAACCATGCATATTGATTCTTGTCAGTTATTTCAATTTAATATAATATACAAAATGTGAACTAAATTCACAAATTTCAAGACATATTTTTTCAATAGTTTGCACAAACATTTACTTAACTTTTAAATACCTCTGTTGAATCATATTTTTAGTACTGAAATTAAAAATTTGATTCGTTTATTAAAATTTTATTGTTGGCGCTTTAACAACGTTGTTGCGATACTTTCCTTACTTGGCAGAAATTATAGATGCTATTTGATTCGGCTGCATACCATAAACTCTACAACGATAGAGTCGCGTAATCACTAATCGATTGGGTCTTGCTTGTCTGCTGCGGCCATAAACAAAAATATTTCCTTGCTCGTTAACTATTCTTATATCCGACTTAGCCTGACAACCGGGCTTTAGTTTGCCGTATGTATAACTAAGACATCGTCAGATTTTTATCGTTTTTTTCATGAAATAAAAATGCACAAATGTTTCATACTTTTGGCTCAAATTTCCTGTGGTCGTGACGTCATCATACTTCGAGCTGAATGTACATTGTATATCTGGATATTTGCCATATAATCTTCCGCATAATGATCCTGTTATTATAACTCGAAGAATCATGAAAACCTAAAAATAAAATGAACACATTAACATAATTTATTTATGAAGATGATCTATACACAACGTGACCGTCCACTCGCAATTCTCAACGAAAATGAGTTAATATTGAAATGAAGATATGTTAGAAAATTTCATTATGGGCAGGTTGGAATTTTGTACAACCTCTAATGTATATTAGTCTGCACTGTATTAAACAGAAAAAAAAAATGAAAGTAATCACCATATCTGAGAAATAATTTAAAATCAGATGAAGAACGGTGGATCAAAATATGCACGAATATATTTTTTACAATTATATGTTCATTATATCTTTCTAATTACTATAAAGAACTACCCTGACTAAAGCTGTTCAGCGACGAAATGCATGGAAAAAGGCATCACATTCTTAATATTAGTCTTTAATATTTGTTTATTTTAATAAAGAATGAAATTAGCCTTAACGATGTTGTCATTACAATTTTAAATGATATTCTACCACGAGTAAAATTTGAATGAAAAGTCTGCAGCTCTTGAAACTACTGAAAACTGCACACTGACGTAATTAATTTCGCATAACTGGCATTTTACTAGAAAACGTATATTTGCACTATAAGAACTGAAAGTATTACAAGATAAATTAGATTAACACTATGAAATATTTACGGCTTTTCAAATTAACCAAACAGTTGAAATTGAACACAACAGAATTAACAATTCTTTGGTAAGCGGAACGTATTTTAAGAGGCAGTGCATTCATGTTGCGAGTTGCGACCGTGAACCGACCGTAACCCTAATTTTAAATTAAATTAAGTTGTTGGCATCCTTATTTACGTCACCACGACTAACTTTCCCAACGGGTGATCGCCTAAAGTACATTCCATTAAACCGCAGATCGAATTTCCGGAGGCTTTTCATTACCGAGTTTAGATTTAATTTTGACTCCATCAACTATCGATCGTATAGTCCCGGGGTCACGCATTTAACATTTTACTATCTCGCGAAGTCCTGCATTTATCTAAAACAGAGCGAGGTAAATGCGATTAGACCCCGTAACGTTAACATTGCTCAGTCGCGAACCAATTCCGAAACTAAAGCTAAAAAATATCAAGTTGAAATCTCATTCACTCCAGATGCAAAGTGATGAAATAGGGTAGGGTATTGCACAGCAAGCAAAGGCAACCATCCACCTACAAGCAGTGATTCGACGTAAAGATGTGAACACGTAGTGTTTTAAAGTAATGGACAACAGTCACCCCGGCACCAGTAAAGATGTTTTTTATATGGGACTGAAACGGAATATAAAGGCAGAATATTGCTCTTTAAAATAATCTTTATGTATTCACAACTGTGCCCAGTTTTGCTTAGCTTATACAGTTCTTTTTATTGCACGATTCCGTGTACAACGTAACCTGAACCACTATTGTGTCAAATATTTTCTATTATTTTATATAACCATGTTAGCTTATTGGTTTTCTGTCACCTAACCATGAATTGTGTAGTACAAATCGATTTCATTGATTCATAAATTCGATTTGTTCCTTTGTGCTAAATAAAAGATTTATTTATTTTTAAATATGTCATCTATATGATCTTATGTTGTCTATCAGTTGGAAGTAATTTACTGTTCCTACAATAACGGTAGTTTAATCCGCATCAAAGGATGCAGTATTCAAATAAAAGTTAAATGAAAAGTTAAAAGTGAAATATATATAAAAAAAAATTTGGTTATTTCTAATTCTTGTCAGAATACCACCTCGTAATCTAATATTCCCTCCAATTTAATTTACTTCTCCTTAATTTATCCAAAACATCCAAAATAAATTGATATAACCAACATAAACGCATTTTTCGTTTTAAAAAAGGGTTAATCTTGGACAACGTAGAAAAGTATAACCAGTTACTAATCTAAATATAAGTAAATTGTCTTTTGTTTTTTGAACCCGAGTCCGGAAATTCTACCTTAAATCCAAAACGAACCCTGATTATTTGTAATTTGAAGTATTGTCCCAAAATAGAATTAATTAGCTATAGCTCATGCAACTTCGGCAACGATGGTAATCAGTTTTACATGATTAATGGGTAAACGATGTTTTTTTGTTTGATTTAAACTCCGATGCTGAATCCAATAGCAGCACGAAACTCGATACGTAACGCCGGCAACCCATACAACTTATATGGTTCAAGTATATCATCTTCGCCACACATTTAAATATGATAACACATACCTTGAGCATAGCTTACCATAAACTGACTGTATCCAACAATACGAGAAGTTGTGAACATGCCGTTGACTACAAATTTGAGAGACCAATATCGTAAGCAATCAACACATGTTATTTCATCCGTTTCTGAGAAAAGAAAATCAAAACAAGTCAGATTATAAGCGTTTTATAATAGATAAAACGTTTATATTATAATGTATAATAGAGTCATATAATATATATATCTTCGATAAATTCATACATTTATATGTTTAGATTGGATGCTTTTGGGTATATTTGAGTATATATATCATTGAACGGTACTCTCGTGGTGTGTGTACAAGGTTAGGGTTAGGCCATGATTTTCTCACGATTTTTATTACGAGGTCAGGGACTGTCTGTGTTAGCCAAGTGAATATCCCCCCTACCCATAGGTTTCAGTCCTTTGATGTAAAGTAGGCGAACAAAATTAGTTGCCTCCATATTGGCACACACACTTCTGAAGCGCCCAATGAGCAACCTTAGGCCAGAATTTAAAAGAAGTATAAATCCAACATAAAATATTTTTTAATATAAGTTGAATAATAATTGCGGTCAGCTATAATTCTAAGTTTAACCATCAAATTAATATAGCTTCTAAATAAGTTAACCGTGATAATTTCAAATCGAGGATAACCAATTTGACTATACATCCCGTTTTTGCGTTGTTACGATATCAGGAGATTACAACAAGTTGAAATGTCCATATTTGTTACATTTTCATAGTAAAATTAGAATATTATGCTATTGTAGTATTTTGATTTTAAATACTTTATCGATAACGTATATACTGAACGCGAATTTTAAGTCGTCATGTTTTTGCAGCAAAATAAGAACCTGGGGATAATGTACTTGACAGTATGTATGTAAACATGTCCACAAGTCTCTGAATAGTAATAATTTGAAATTTCTACAAAATTAAGATGTTTGCATCCGATGAAATTCCATCCTGAATAAAATTATAATATTGAGTTCTGTACTAATAAGGTATGAAAGCAATCGGTTGCTCATAAAAATTAATCAAATTATATTATTTTCGTTTATCTGATATTTTAATATTTAAACAGAGTGTAAAATATATTGATTATTTTGCATTTTATTCGAAGAAATTGATTTGTTTGGGTGACACGTTTTAGACTACTTAAAAATGCATTACGTTTCGTGATTTTAAAACGTAAAATTGAACAAAAAACTAACAATTGACAAAATGTGTGTTCATGGTTAGCCAGCCGAAGCAGTTTCTTAGTACAGTAATTTTAGATTTAATCCAGCACGATAAACTCATGTTATATTTACTGATCTAAATTAACAATTTCATTAAATTTTGGCATCAAGTTCGAAATTCTCTTAATTTTCCATTAATGAAATTAGAATTTCGCTAAATTTGTATTCAGCATTTTAGACATTTTCGCGTTTTACGGTAATTATCTTATAAGCCAAATTTTTCATGGCAAATTACTCAGCTGTTTTATTGAGGTTTTCCTAATTTACATTCACAAGTCACTCGTTCTAGTTGTGTAGTATTTATTCACAAATTTTTTCCTTTGCTCATATTCAGTCATAGATAATGAATAAAATGAAGTAATCTCATCAATGTAAAATAGATGAGACAATTGTTGGGACAACTCCCTGTAGGTGAATTCAATATAACCCACTTGCTAAATAACGTACAGTACCATCCGATCCGACTGATAATCTAAATTTAAGCGAAATACTCAAAATCGCGTAATGAAAATTCTAGCCATTTCTAATGTTTAGAATCTGAGCCATATATGTGATGAATATAATGTTAAGAGAAAAGCTCATTTGAGTTATAACTCATTCATTAATCCGCGTAATGGCAACATACACATGTTAATAAACTTATAAATCTGTTAAATATTAGTCAAAACGTTTCAATTTTTTCAATCGTTTACGAAATTAAATGTGAACTTATCCTAATGTTTATACGTGTTTTACAACGAACTTACTGGGTAAATGTTTACATTTTGACTTACATACATAAGCAATCCAAAATCTTGAGGATTCATATCAAGGGTGAAATGAACTATAAATTAGTTCAGTAACAAATGCAAAGAAACGTTGAACGTTATCAGCAATTCTGCTTCTGTGAGGCTATTTTAAAAGTACATTATTCATATTATCACCCGATTTTCATATGTTTCATTTCTGATTTTCCAATCAAATACTTTTTTTATTTTAATTAGGTATGTTTACCTCCTTCATAGTATGATGCATTGATGTATTCCGTTTGTTTTCTATCTTGGTTGATATCCTGCCTGTTATGAAGAGGTTTGTGTAGTTTTTCGGCATTCGGACCCATATTGAAAGACCTTATCTACGCAAATGGAAACTGCAATATAAAATTATGAAACATAAACAGCATTTAAGTTAAAATTGAACTTATAGATAGAGCTGTATTACGGGAAAGAAAAGATCATATTATATGAAACGTTCTAACCTAAATTTCATGGGAGCGCATAAGGATTAAAATCCAACGCCGGCACGTTACGTTTGTACGCTACCGGTATTGGCATCAGACCAGTCCATTTGGCCATATTCTAGACATATAGCATCTATAACATAGCTACCTATTTCTGTCATCAAGGACTTCTTTTTATTGTCCTACATTTACTTGTGTATGCTTTCTTTATTGTTAACCCTCTTTATTTAAAACCACACGGAAAATATTAGAATGGCCAATATCCAAATATACAATTTTATGCGGCTACGAATATCTGATTTTTGGTTTCCATTTTATTTTATTCACATTTGTGGTTTGATAGGTTTACAGATTTCAATCGATACTTACGATAGTGGTGAAGTTTTAATAATATTTACATAATTTTTGTTTTCGTGACGTATTTTGATTTACACGAGTTACAAAACATCAGGGTAACAATTTCCGGCATTCGAAAAATGTCGCAAAAAGGTTCACGGCCTTTCAAGATTTCTGCCTCTCCAATTAAAAGCTTTTATGTCTTCCTCCGGAATATATTTTAAAATATACTTCCCACCTGTAATATTGATAATAAAGTAAATATTGGTCTAAAAAATAATCGATCTTTTGCAGCCGCAGGCGCTTCCTTAAAATTATAATTTATTTACCAGTCTAGCGTTATCTATACTCTAGCTAGACCTTGGGAATGAATATTGAAGAGGTTGGAGAGATTGAGGTCGATGTTATCATATGTTTCATTGCTCTAAATGTGAAAAATATGTTCAACGATTTTACACGATAAAATTGACAACATACGATATTCAGATATTTCCACGAGCAGCGACAGAAGGCTAGTTCGTTACAGCTGGGTTTTCGGTCATCATTGCGAATTCAGCTTTCAATATTGTCATAAATCACTTTGCTATTGGATTCGATAGTCGAGTTTAAATATAAAATTTATCCAGACTTATAGTGTTTCTTGATCTGGGTAGGCTCGTTTCTAAACTTAACCATTTATGACTTATGCTACTTTGTTCATGTTTCATCGCAGAACACCAATTGAAACTGTATACTGCATTTTATGCGACTTCGTATTTCTTCTACTTGAATCTCAATGGTCTATTCCAGAATACCCAACTTCAATATTGCCTGTTATTCCCTAAAATTGCAAGTCCTGAACTGAGGTAAATTTTCGCTTTAGCTAATATTCTTCTAACTCTTATACCCTTCATCTTATGGTAAACACACTCCCAGGAGAATTTCGACGTCAATATATATTAAATTACGACCGCAGCACGGAAGGCTCAAAACAATACGTCTAGTGTTTACGTTGACGGCTTTCACGCGGACCAGGCGCGCGGTCAGTCGCGATTACAATTTTGAACCGTGCCCTGCCCTATTGATTACTAAAAAGTCTGTCCTTATGAGATTAAAGAGTCGTGGACACGAAGGATATGCCACACGTTTTCGAAATATTTGAAAGCACTACGCGTAATTGAAGCAGGTCGAATAATTGGATGGGTGTCTTATGCGTGAAATCAATTTCGAATCCATTAATTTACCATACTACTGTACCCCGCTTGCTCAACGTATCATCATATCCCAATTCAGAACATAGAATATTATATTTACTCCAAGCACCCTAATTCAAATCAGTCAGTGAAGAATTTCCACGAAAAGACAGCCCGTCACAAAATTAAGCAAAATCAAGACATAAATCTATTTCTTCGGGCTCCAGCACCTGAATATGCATTCATTATTTATTATTAGGTGTATATCCCGCTTCAACTACAATTGAACCGATCATATTATCAACAAACGTTGCAAAAATAGTTGCAAATGAGATTTACACTTGTCGTTATATATTGTCATACTATGTCTGACGTGACAGTTGTATCTAGCTGATGTACTTTCCGAAGTTTTGCTTTCAAACGCAATTCCACCTATTAGCCCACTAATATTTCTGCTACTGGCAATTTAGCCACATAAAAATCTCATTATTTTTTGTTTTACTGTTCCACCCCAGTAACTCCAGATGGGACCCGCTACCGCTAAAACTATTGTTAAAGGTTTCGCCTCATTAAATACATTCATGGAATGTATAAGCTTTATTAAAACTCGCATTTTACGGTCAATAATGATTTTTGGTCTGTCCAGTCTATATTGAAGTCATTTCCAGAAGAAAGTTCATTTTTTATTCGACCATCTGATAAACATTACCATGTCAATCAGACCTGAAAATAAGGTAAATCTATCCCTATATTGCGATAAACCTTCATTTTAAACATCAAAATAAATTGAGCATGGTTACAAACTCAAAACAAAATCACATGTACTGTTCATCACAATACATCGCCATTTTATTTCAATTTCCTAACTTTTTGAGCATTTCAATGATAGGTTTTAATATTTGAAACCTAACCTACACAGGCCACACTTTATGCTATGTACTGGGTATTCGTCTTTGTATAGTTTCATGCACCAAACATTTGTCATATTTTCATGGTGAAATAGGTCCTACTTTTTCTGCTAAGTGTTCACACTGCATTGCATGGCAACAACTTATCTGAATTCTAAACCACATTTGGAAATGCATTAAAACACGACTATACAACGTAACATTTATTTGCGCAGGCCCGGTCTGGTTCATAACTATTATTCAACTCGACATATTTTAAAAACAGTTGAAATTTATCATTATTACCATCTGCACTTAACTGATAACGAGTTACTGTGTTCGCTTCAGTGGGCCCAGTAATGACAATCTATGACAGAAGCTTGTGTTCGGGTCGAATTTAATTAGTTATTTGTTCCGGCTGGCGTGCGCAAAAAGGTTCAGAAGTTCATTGCGAGAATCTAAGTAAAAGGTACGAATACATTCATGCTCTGATACACAATGAGGTAAATTGCGTCATTTATTAGCGGCCAATTTCTACCCCACGCTCGCAACTTGTATGAGATTATAACGTATTTCAGCTGACTTGGTAGCCCGACCTGGTCGTTCTGGTGTTCCTCACCCCAATTTATATAAAATCCTACGACAAAAGTTACCGTATGGAATAGTATTAGATTTCCAATCATATTAATATTTTATCAATATTCTTCAAAGTCAAATCTTATTGAATTATTGGTACACACTGAATAATGTGCTAAATTAAATGTGGTTTATAAACTAGAATAGACGAATGTGTTTCACAGTGAAGAGAACGCCAATCTATCCATCTATCTTATCTATTGTTATGTAGCGTTAGGCTGAAAGTGTATCAGATTACAGCTTGTCTTTGCGACCATATACGAGTTTTCTGCATTCGTGGCAATGAATATGCAAAGCATCTATTCAAATTGCACCAACATCGTTGTTAATATGGTGTAAAATTGTTTTGGGAACAAAAGAAGTTGTTTTGATTCATAATTCGACAATTTCTTAGAACAATGTGGATGACGAATTGTAAACTGAAAATATTTTCTTATTTTCTTAAAATATTTAACCGTTAATAGAGAACCAATACGTTTTTAATCTTCTTCAAACTATATGTTTAATTATATATACAAAATTCACTTCTGTTCTAATCAGTCAGTTGCAGTAGTGCCCAAAACTACCGACCTTCCTATCTTATTTTGATCCTGCATATATTACATTAAGCAATGGCGTCGATCTGAATGGAAAATGATTCCCTACTATTTGTCGGAATTAAAATTTAGTTAAACCTTAGTGACTCGGAAATTGCAATTGACGAACACGCAAATTGTTAGTTGGGTATTGGAGGAGATTTCAAAATGCTACGCGTTATGATTTACAAGAATGGAAAAATAGTCATTGTCAAAATTAGCATGTGAACTACCTACGAGCTGGCTTGTAAACTTTTGTGCCACCAGTTACTCATCCCGAGTATGCCTGCCTGCTTTTCATTTTTCGGATCTGAACTTGGCGGTGGTAAATATTTTGCTATCAGCGATAAAACTTGTAAACTTTGTAACTTATAAAAGGTGTTCTGTATTCGACTGTCATTCTACACTGGTATATACGTCACTTTCGGGATTTTCAAATAAATGACGGTGTGGTGTTACAGCTCAAAACTTGGCACGGTGTTTGAAATTAACAGAGGGTTGTTCACTGCGTCCCGCTATCTATTCGTCATAGAATGTGATCAAAACTATTCAATCGATTCGTGTGCTTGTGATCGGTAGGGGCTATTGTAATAACAATTGTTGGCTTATTACGTCATAATTGTAGTGTATAAAATGTTAACGTTAAGCACATAATACTACATACTGAGACAAAATAGTTGACGATGATAGGTTTACAATACATAATGACGGTCAGATTATTGAATCGACTTTCTTTGTAAAATGGGACGGAAAGTAACTGCTGCGAGCCAATGATGTTTTATAAATGATGTTTGTTTATACTCTTATTCCAGAAATTCGCTCCGAACTAAACTCTGAACACAAGACCCTGTGATATCTAACGATATGTAAAGAAAGTTGATTCTAATATAAAACTTATATGAGAAAGCTATGGATAAAAAACTCTATCTATACTATCTATGACAAGACGCTAAGCAAATAATAAATGAAAGTGTGTTTCAAGAAGTAGACGTCCACAATTATGATCTCTGTTTTGATTTAATAAACTGAATAATATATATTTTTGTCATGCGAAACTATCAAAAAAATAATTTGGAGACTCATAAACAACATGTAGGTAAATTTACATTTCTGAGAAACTTTGTTTTTATCATACCTCGTTCATATTTTATATGCATATACCTATCACACTTATGAGTCAGGTTGATATGATTTGTTTATCATGATAATAAGATCACAGATAGAATAGGTAGTTCATGAATATTTCAAAGATTTGAGGTCATAAAACGCGCCTGTTTCGTTTATAAAGTTGGTGTCGTGATGTACTTATTTTCCACTATATAGGAGTTGTAATTTCACACTTTTTGTGTTGAGGAGTCAGTCTAGTTCGTTTTTTTTTTAATTTTTTGAAATCTGGATTAAAAGTAGAAATTATTGTTGAATTATTATTTGAAACTATATAATAGTATTCGTTAATGTTAAAAATTCCGCGGTCACCAGAATCAAACTTTGCAGCGACTAGACGTTTTGTGTTAATTGGTTATAACTTTCTTCTGACTTAACGTCCTTGAGTAGAGAATCATACAAATTTCATATATCTGCATGCATATATTTTTTAATAGAAAATATCAAGACGTCATTACTTACAATTAACGGGTGACGTTTATCTTAAAATCTGTAGTCAATGCAAGGTATATGCAATATTTAAAAAGCATTACGCTTAAATAGGTTTTATTAAAACTCTTTTCCAGATTTTAGAAACTAAATTAATATTCATGGATTGAATAATCTGACACTCCCATTATAGTATAATATATAACCTAATAGTAGATTCTCTTTACAGTATATTTTATGTATTATATACAACGCTATGTGAACGAAACACAATTTTTACAATATTTTATACAGTTAACACTCTGCAATCACACTGCAATATTATACCACAATCTTTTGAGGTGGAAGTCTCGATTTAAAAATACATTTTATTATACAATTGATCTTAAGCTGAAAAGTGAGTAATCGAAACATAATGCAAAAAAGTAACAAATATTTTTCAAAAAATTTCATTTTACACAATTTTTTTTAATTTTATTATTATCCCATAACAACACTGTTTGATATGCTTCATATTGCATAAATTATACTCGTTTGTATAGATTTAATATGAACCATGTCAAATACTTTTAAAAGTTTTCAAAATGATGTAGAAACGTCGGTCCATCAATTTTATTCATGAGCGAACATGCATTATCTACAGTATGGGTCATTGGAGAGGGTCCGCAGCTGAATACACCAAACTCCTTCACCTGTAATATAAAAACATGGCTAAAATCGAAATATACGATGAACTCGTGTGACCTTGTGTTTGAACAAGGAGTTGACATACAGCCAAAAACCCTTTGCTAAATTGTAGTTGTTCTTGTGACCGACCAATCATATGACTCTTTACGCTGGTGTTCATGTATTGAAGAACTGCTCTCTTGTTTTTGGTAAATACACCCTGAACATGCGTGTAACATGCTTGCAAGAGTGGGCCTACGGGAGAGCCATTGGGACAGTCGCCCCGGGCAGCACGTTGAAGATAAATGAGTTTGATCTTATACGCGTGAGTTTGTTGCTTGGTTTGATGAATTAATTAATAATAATACAAACATTTCACTCCTATTTGACTTTCAATTTATTCATCCTCATGTATAACAACATCTCTAATTGTTTTTCCCCCGAATTATTTTTGAAGTTAGGTATAAGGGCATCATTATGAGAAACTCGCCCTGGGCAGCAGAACAATTTGACACGCCTCTGCATGCGTGACACCTTTAAAGGATAAATTGATTATTTCTTTTATAGGTAGAGTGTGTATCTCATTTGTTTTTATAACATTGGTAATCTGAATTTTATTCCTCGTTCATTTTCATCCCG